ACCAGCGTTTCCCTCAGGAAATCCAAATATTGCGTCCGGGATGATGGAGACGTTTGTTTAGCTGTTTGATCGCTGCGTGAATTTATTGAAGGCAGGCTTATTTTTGTTTTGCGCGAATGAAAACTATCGACCATGATTTACATCAAAGTTAATGGGATTATCTGCTGTAAAAGTTTGTCAGCAAAACTGGTAACATGGCAGATAACTGCGCCATTACAAACAAAAGGTATATTTCCGAAATACTTTTTTTCTGGGGCTATTTTAGGCGCGGTTCTAAGTTTGCAACTAAGGCAAAAGATCGAGCTATAATATTGTATAATTTATTGTTGTTTTATTAAAAGATAAATCACGGATTACTCTGATCTGATTCTCCTTCGAAGAAATACTTTGCCAAAAATATATCACAATTTGACGTTTTCAGTAATGTTCAAGTCTTCTTACAATGTACTAACTGTTATGCGTAGTTCTTTGTATAGTGTTGTGTACTCGGTACTCGTTCTCGAGCTCAACTCGAGTACTTTTTGAGATTACTTGAACTTGCATGTACTCGAACATCAAAATAATCGAACTCGAATTCATGGTATTCGTACTCGAGAAGCAAAGTAGTTGGACTCGACTATTCGATATCGTGTTTCATCATCAAAGTACTCGTACTCGATTAAAAGGACTCGGGGGGGGGGGGGTCAAGCAATTTAGTTTTGAATGAAGTATAACAACTCATTAGTTTTTATGCATGCAGGGTGGAAGAACTGGCTTTCAAGATGTCTTGCTCTGAAGTGGTTTCAGATTCCACTCACTACTTGAGATTTTAATTGTTTTTGCCTGAGTACTCCACTTGAATACACGAATGTCCAAGTTGGATTCGGGTACCTACTTCCGTTCGCAAGTGTCAAAGTGCTCGGATGCTAGTGGTACCCGATAGCTTGGTACTCGGCAGTACTTTGTACTCTGATGAAAGTACTCGACTATCCAACATTAGTTGTTTGCGCTGTGTAGTGGAAACTATTACTGTTGATTTACAAATTTCCTAAACCTGAAAATTCACTCACGCCTTCGTTGTGAGCATCGAGTCATGCGTTAATTTTGGTGACTGCTCTGTGTTCCGACACCCCTATGTTCCAACAACCTGCACATAAGATTGTGTTACTCCCGGTTAGGGTTAGGGTAGGGTTAGGAGTAGGAGTAGGGTTAGGGATAGGAATATGACCAGTGGGAACATTGGTGTGTCAGAACATAGGTGTGTAACCTAAATTTTCTGCATGTCCGTACATGTGGCGTATTCGACAATTATAGTCTCATTATGGGTTGTACCCAAAACCTCAGAGTATATTTTGTAGTTTTAGGGCGTGGTATACAGCATTACCGGGTAGAATCAGTATGGTGCCTATGATATAGCGATGAGTCTTGCAGTGTGTCGCCTTCAGGGAATACAACCAAAAATAATGACTTTCAAATCCAGCATCTTTGATGCATTGTCGTTTACAGTGTGTTGTCCAAGGGGACTCGTTATAAACCGAATTACGCCATTAGCCCACTACAGTTTCATTATCAAAACCGCAATAGCTCCACTGACATCAATTGTTCCAAATAGGTGTTTAACTTCAAAATACAGAGTTCATTTGAATGGAAAACAACTCACTATGAAGGTTATGATTGATTGTTTACCAAACTGTGTCGCGGCTGGTTAGAGTATCATCTGCGATTTTTGAGACTTGCACAGCAAAATCAATACCGATGTTTTTGGTTAATTCAAGATGAACGACTGGTCAATCTATTTATTTCGTCAATTCACAATAATACTAGGAAATCAGAGCGCAAACCTTTGCTAAATCCTGCAATACTTCATTCTTTGACACGCTTGGGAAGAATATTTACATGACAATGTTTTCATTGATGAATTTTACGTACGATCAAAACGATGTTGTCTTTGTGTTGGAGTCGCTGATTTTTGTTTCTTCAATTCGAATCGATTTATTGCAATTACTCTCAGTTGTCGTTCAAGGGCGCATCATGCTTACTCATCCTCCGGTTCTTAAATATCTTATTTATCATTATACCGAATGTTATTACCTTTTAAATCGATATTGTTTCTTGGAATGATAATGTTGGCAGCGAAGTCTGAAAAAGAAGGATTAAAACAAAAATCATGAAAATTATCAATTGCGTCTACTGGCTTTTGTTTCTTATTTTTGTGTCAATTTTACAGTTTTTTCCTTTGATTTTGTTTCTTATTTGTAAGCAGGTATTGATTTACTAAACAATTGTATTTTTGTTCTATTCAGGCAGTCATTAAACTGTGAGCTAGAGCGTTTCTTCCTTTTTTCGAGCAATTGTGTTTGGCAGCAATGGACGGCTATCTCCCTTTTAAAGGCATATAGGATCATTTGCTTTTCATGCATTTTGTTCCTTTCCAATAACAACACCACCCAAAATCCAAAAAGAACGTTCAAAACATAACCTAATTGAAGTCTAAGCTCAGTGGATATTACACATTTCGAGAAAACAGTAAAAAACCACGCACAATATTTTGATCACGAAACACCATTTCGTCCATAATACACTCAGTCCATTAAAAGTCAGTCCATTGATCGTTGAAAATCACCTACATTCCTTGATTTCTTCTAAATGACAGCAAGCCAGATGGAATAATTTCACAGGATGTTTAGTACCAGTGCGATTGTAAATTTAAGCAAGTGTTTTTAATGATAACTCGGTAGGTTACTGTTAGGACAAATGCAAATGATCCTGCCTTTATAGGCATGATAGCTCCCACATTTAGTTTTTGGGATTGTGTTTGTGCCATTTTTTTATTGGCCTGCAAGCTCTTACTGAGAGAGTTGGAACACTCATCTCTTCCATCCAAGATTCTTAGATGGGTCATAAGGTCATCAGAGACGGTGTTCCCTAATCCATGCAGCGTGCTCGATTTGTGTGCTGAGTTTGTCTTTAATATCAACGCACATGCGCGCGTACGTGCAGTTCTGTTTGAACCACATCACAAAAGCCGTGTCTGCGAATGCGTTATTATATAAATTAAAAAAAAACGAAGCTGAGACTGTCAATTCGTTCGAGATTTAAACCGTGCAGACGTGCGCCTGGTGCAAGGAGGTAAATTCATCATGCGGGTAATCGCAGCACGAGACTCGGTAATGAAGGCGGGAGATAAGATCGCATTTTATTAGGTTTGGCCCGCTAATATTACGCCGCCTCGCCTGTCCGTGCTGATATACAACGTCACTTCACATCGCAAGCAAATTCAATTGGAAGGGCAACTCGTATAGCATCGTCTGCTGCAGACTAAACATGAACAGCAATCGGCGGAATCCGAAATGTAAAGACAGAATGTTTCGTCTTTTTTTCTGTGAATTCTGCAGGCAAAATGGGTTGGGTGAATTATTATACTCTCTCGAGGAAGCACGGCCTATCAGAATCTCGCGGTAGATTCAAGGCTGTAGCTTTAGGCCAAGTTGATGTAACCATGTTTGTCTGATATATCATTGCATATATGATTGTATTCATCTTTTCTGTGAGTTATTGTATTGATAAGAACATGCCAAACAATGATTACAGAATGAATTAATATGCCTTGCAGTTTGCTTTATTTTGTAGCATCAGACCTAGCATCGCTTTTATGGATATGACTTTTGCGCGCTGCTCTGAATCACGTGGCCGTGAAACTCTGAATAACGTGATCGTGCTCTGAATCACGTGACTATGTTTGCTGCCCTCAACCGTATAAGACTAATGATCCCTATTCAATGCAAACTAAAGAAAAACGTACACTCGTAAAATGGTTTTGAATTTTACAGCCGTTAGTATTTTATTCAATCTTTCCTTCGAGTCTGAATCTATTCAGCAGGAAAGACAGGAGCCATTTATCACGGTGAGGGGAAAAAAAAGGAAAATATCCGGCGGTTGGACAAACAGGAGAGGATATTGAATTCTCCCTCGCAGTCCATCTTAAATTTCATTGGAAATAAATGACGTTTTACTTTCTTATTCAATTACACGCGTGCGCCAGTCCCAGATTTTATTAATTAAAGGCAAAATAGGATCATTTGCCGTCCATGCATTTTGTTCGTTTCCAATAATAACACCACTCAAAATCCAAAGAAGAATGTTCAAAACCTAACCTGTTGAAGTTTCAGCTCAGTGGATATTACACTTTTCTAGAAAACTGTTCGAAACCATGCACAACATTTTGATCAAGAAGCACGATTTCATCCATTTCCAAAAATCGGTCAGTCGACTGAGCGTTGGAAATCACCTACATTTCTTGATTTCTTCTAAATTACAGCAGGCCAGACGGAATAATTTCACGGGGTGTTTAGTACCAGTACGATCTTTAATCCTAGTAAGCTTTTTGATAATAAATTAGGTAGGTTAGTTTTGGGATAAATGCAAATGATGTTAAGAGGTGATTACTTGACAACTAAGATACGGATCTTAAAATATTTCGAAAAACAAACGGTGAATATTTTGGTACTAATAACCGACATTGCTCATAATTTAAAATATAGAAGCCCTAATACTAAATTAGAACCAAGATATTTTAGTCTCTGTTCTTTGCTTTCAAAGTCATTCATGGGAGATGTATCGAAAGATCGGAACGCTTTGGCGGAATTATGACACTTGCTTATTAAATCCACAAGGAAATATAATATGTAAAGACCGTTAGGCCTATTGCGCCACAAAGATGTAACCCACACATGAATGCATGCTATGTATATATGTATGTTCTAGTATTTTTCTTGTGAGAGTAAGAAAGTGTATAACATTTCTATTCCTTTTACAGTGACCCAATTTAACAGCCTTTCCCGTTTTATCTCCACTCAATCGTGCGCGTGCAGGCGACACACTAGACTGAACACTTGTTCTATATCACTGCTCCGTCCGGCCGATTTGATTGGCCAGCAGCCGCGTGCGCGTGTTCCGATCATGCGCACTGAGACACTGAGTAACACGCGCTTCTGCAAACTCGGAGCGACAAACACCAACCCACCAAATTACATTTCTGCGTGCTCGCTCAAACATCACGTGCTTTATCACCGTCTCAGGAAATATCAAAGCGATATTTATTGAGTGAACCAACCCAACGTCGGATTACACCACAATACTTCATGCTTTATGATCAGAAGTAACTCGCTTTTATTTTTCTTCTCTCGAAGTTGGAGGGCCTCATCTCTGAAAGATTTAATAAAAACCTCTTGGTTGTTTTTGCTCCACGCACAGCGAGAGAATGTCATCGGTAACGCAGCGGCAATCGCCGAGTGTTGCTCGGTGTTTGTGGCGTGGATCATGGGCGCAGCTCGTGCTGCAAACCACGCTACTCGTCCTACTCCTGACCACGCAATACAGCACGGCTAGACCCGCTCTTATGGACTACCTACCGACGGACGAGTTGTCTCAAAGATCGGCAGCTGAAACCAACTTTGAGGGGATGGATCTGCGAAGTCTGTGCGCCCGTACGCGCTCGGTGGAGGTGCGTGTGCTTTGTAAACTCACCACGCGGGGCGATCGTTGGTCGGAAGTCGAAGGAAGGAAGAAAGTCGTTAATAAAAGATCTGGTAAGAATTCCTATATTTCTTTTCGATGCCTTGAGTAATTGTATTCAAGAAAAATACACAATTTCATTTCATAACTTTAGTTTAATTCATTTTCAAAACTTCATTTTTAATTGTGGAAATTACTCGTATGCGGTTAAATCTCTTGACATTCATGACACTTGCTGCTTAAATTAAAGAAATGAACGTGCATTCTAGATGCTCATAATCATGCATGCCTTTGTTTCTTTCATTTTTATTAGTAAATGCTGAACATCGACTCTTTTACACTTTAAAAATCCGAGAGAATCGAAGTGATCTCGACGCAATTTATATTGAAGCCGTTATGTTTACTCTCGAGGGAGTCACTTTCGTCACGCTTGCACGCCGATCTGAGCGAACATTATTGCGAACTTCCCAACATAAACCGAATTCACATCGGAGGAATGTAAATGAAACCAAATGCATTCCGAATAACGTTGCTGCACCAGATTAGATCATTCCGAATATTCTGGAAAATCATCGGAGTTTTATTCACAATAGCTAAGGTGAACCTGGCGCATTATTTTTTGTTGCTTATTTAGTTTGCCGATTGTATAGCGCCAAATCAATAACGAAACCTCGATGTTTTACAACTTAGAAAAACACGTTTAGTGCAGTTCCGCAGGGCAAGCGATATTTACACGATGTGCGCAGAATGTCAGTTCAACAATTTGCTTCAAGTTGCACGTGATTTTTCGTTGCGTCCGAACGACTTGTCTGCGCTGAATTAGTTCACGAAATTCAAATGTTGATTTTATCTCAGCTTTGTCAATATGCAAATCAATGCCGGCAGTTTGAATCGCAATCAAGACAGTAACTGCTAATATTCCTCACACGATCTACATCCATGAACTACATTACAATCATTGCACTGTCAACAGCAGGATTCTATCACTGAGCTAGATCCTATACAAAGATGTACTTTCCCTGTACTTTTGGTTCCGCATCGCTCACATTTTCTCACCATTAATGGCAATTTTACACCTGACGATAGCCATGCATGCGTTGAACGCGTTCACCTGTCTCCGCGTACTTTTCCTGCGGTAATGTTTATTGGTTTCCGCTAAGATAACTCGGTCCTTTCTAAATTTAAAAAGAGAAAGGTTTAATGTGACATTTCAATGTTTTCGTCTTTCAAATATATATGTGTCGGCGGTTTTACAAGCATTAGTTCGGGTAGAAACTTATGATAAGTATAGAACTTATCAGCGATAAAACAAGGCAAACTGACAAGGTTGTTTTAAAATATAAATTAATAGGCTATAAAACCTAATTTAATGTGAGTTCTCAATGTTTTCGTCTTTCAAATATATGTCAGGGGGTTACATGCATTAGTTCGGGTAAAATAGAACTTATCAACGATAAAAAAAAATCAAAATGAGAAGGTCGTTTTAAATATAAATAGACAAATTTCAATAACAACCTGTACTTTGAACCCACAGAACACAAAGTGCAAGACAGACAACTGCGTGAAATGGAAAATTAACGAACAAAAAAAACCGTAAAAACCTTTTCACTATTCTCTAACGATCACGTAAATTGTACCCTTTAATTAAAGTTATTGCCTCGTCCTAACAACAAATGGAAACAAAAACATGTAATGCACAAATTAACCATTAGTCTAACGATATAGATTCCAGTATTTATTCCAAGGCGTTCCAAAGAAGTTTGAACTAATTGATCCATTTTTGTCAAGCTCCAACCGTACCCGTATCCCCGACCCCACCGCCCCTTACAATAGGTTAAGGACTCTCACTTTCACGAGTAGATAAGTCAGGAATGTCCAACAACTTGACAAATAATTCCCAAGAATGTTAATCGTCGGGGACAATTGACGGGCGAGCCTCCCGGCTACCCGTCGCCACCTGTCACGTCGACCGTTAATAGGCCTAGCGTAAATTCCACCTGCAGATTACAATGGTGTTTGTCGCGCATTTAAGACGCGCGTGCAGTTGGAATGTGAAGTGGTGACATGACTGAGTGAGATCTCAATGTTACAAGAAGACGTTACCTTCGGGCAAGAATAGCATAGCACACGTGACTTGGGAAGATGGTTTCGTAACTAATTTGCGTAATTTATCGAAAATCATTGACCAAATTCACATCCTGATCAGATGTTTATGAGCACGAACTGCGAGATGACAAAAACTGGAAACAAACACAAGAATTGGCTTTTTGGGGGTGGATCTTGAGCAATATGAAAATTAAAAGTTTGAACTTAAAAACAATATTCACTGTCACAGTAATTTGAATGTAACAATTATCCCTTTCTGTATTACCAACAAAATGATGGGATCTCCCTTGAAATCCAAAATTGCCAAGAAGTACTTGCATTACCGAGTAAACAATCCGTAATGGTTATCGTCATCCCGTACTGTTTTCACTGATATCGCCTCGCCTGATAGCGACAAGTACATTACCAGATGTAGCGAGACGAAAATGAGTTTTAAAAGCAACATTCGTTTTCCGCTTCATGAAAATAAGTATCAGAAATCACCCGGTAATATTGGAAAGCGACACCATTTTCCCACGCTTGAATTGCGTTCTTCAAAACACCTTCAAGGCGAACGACTCCATTTTATGTTTTCGAACAGAAATTTCTGCAATCGCGGAGAATATTGCATTTCAAATTCAAATCATTGACTACTATTGTTGTAGGCCTCGTGGGTGCGTGGATTTCCATGTGAAAAGCAACAAGCAGTGCGCAATTTTGAAGCGCGGTCGAAAATAAAAAATTATCAAATTTATATAGCGACGCATGGCCAAGAATTTGACATTTCACGTTTCTACTTGAGAACACTATTAACGCATATTAACATGCCGTGAACATGTAATAAGCTACAGACGCGGTTTTGTGTATTTCCGTGGTTCCCATGGTAACCCCTCCGTCGGTTCCCTTTGATTACCCAGCGAGCTTTTTCATTGTGTTTTCTAGTTTCCACGGCTGCCTTTTTTATATTAAATTTTCATCATTGTCGTCTGGAATTTAATTAGGTCATCTCTGCCGTCATTATCATTTAATCTAAAAGGCAGTAGAAAAAACACCGGTAGTAGACACTCGAGCGTGTCTTTAATGTTGCTTGGATACGTCCCAGAATGTACATCATAACCAAGACAATTAATGTAGGCATGAGTCCAAACAAAAATGAAAGCATAATGTAATTGCGATTTTCTTATGACAGTAAAGAAAGGACACACTCATTTACAGTTATTTTGAGGACATGATCCTGCAATACTGGATGATAATAATAAGCACTGCCATGTAGAATAAGGGGGGAGGGTAACTCAAATTCTTGTTTCTTATACCGATTTTTTTTAGAAATATTTATTTTTTATCCCCAAAGATATGTCCTTTGATAATTTTACCGTGAATATCATTCGATGAAAACGAACTACAAAAAGTGCCAACTGCAGGACTCCGTAGCACGCCGTGTCATGTTTGCTTTTACATTTCACTTGGGAGAAATCATCTTCATAATCATCCTTTTTATTGATTTGCAACGTGGACAATTATTGCATCTGTCTTGTCGGAGAGGTCTTCATCAGTCTTTCAATCAATAATTAGCTCATTAAAATCCCGTTCGCAAGGCTAGACAAAGCAAATTACTTATTCGTACGATAGTATTTCCTGGATGTTTTGCAGAGTCGGCAAGGCATGTGTTAGATATCGTTTATGCCTATTTCTTTCTTTCTTTCTGGTAATGAAACAACGATTTCTCGAAAAGTGCCCAAGGCACTGTAGCACGCAAGCCTGAAGAAACCTGTAGAGAGGGGACAATGAGAAGAAATGACAGTTTTTAGAGGTGGAAGGAAAAGCCCAGAAGAATATTCTGGGGAAAACCCACAGAATCAGTCAGGGACTGAAGACCCGATCTACATATTGGCCCAGGCAGGAATCGAACCCAGGCCATAGCGGTGGAAGGCGAGGAAAGTAACCAATGCGCCAACCTGACTCTTAACAGTGTTAAGACAATTTGATGCGAGATGCTGTTTTCGCTCCGATCTTGAGGCGAGCTGCTTCCAACCCACGAAACCAGAGCTGTAAGTCTCAGGTCTCGTTGACTAATTGTATTTTCTCTGCAATCCAGAAATCAAACATGTACTGCAAACCGTTACCGTACCCGGCCCGCTGCTAAAAGGTTGAGCTCCATCTGCCTGTTCATATTTGCAAGAGGCTGCGCATGCACTACACTCACTGTATCAAATTCCTCAAAAATCCGCCCGGTATGCGCGTTTTATTATGAGAAATTAAAATATTTACCAACGCGTAGTTCAAGGTAAGACGGGTCTGCTTTATTGACATCCGGCTGGTGTATTAAGTTAAGCGTGGAATGGGGTTTTGATGGTCATGCAGACGACATTTATTGGGTCGTAAAACAGGCCGCGGTTCGTTGTTGTTACCACAGCATGTGTCCCCAGAACTTTAACCGGGCTATGTGAAATATATTCAACGAAAAAGAAAGTGATTACACAGATTTGAAATAGAGAGAAATAATTAATAAGGAAATAAATACAAAAGGCGCATGTAATTATAGGAGCGCGCCAACATACTCGTGAATTTTAGCAGTCACGTGTAATTTGCTTTGCTGCTGGGAAATAAAAATGGTGTCAAATAATAAATCAAGTCAATTTTTCCCCTACATTTTGTTACTCTTGTTATTAATAGAACCGAACAAATTTTTATCAAATTTTAAAAATCTTATTATACTTTACACAGGCAAAAAACCAAAAATTATACACATAACAATTATAGGTCTGCGCCTCGCAACAAAACTGTGTGATGCTATTTATCATACCTCTATACAACTGTCACGTCAATGTTGTTCATTATATCAATTATCAGAAACCATGGAAACATCACAGGCTCTCTCAATGAGGAGTAACGTATTTGCCGGACGGTTAGCCTTGATTATTTTGAACCTCTCCCCCACCGGCCAATGAAACTGACCCGGATTTCGTCACTCGTGAAATCAAAAAGGGCCTTGCGCGACAGTCTAACAAGCAAACTGTCTTTTATTCATGTCCAGGGGGATATGAAATCGAATTTTCTGCTTTCCCGCCCGGTCGCCCCAGCTACTCAACCGAGAGCCGGCCACCGACTAATTCTTTAATGAAAACTGCAACATCGCTCAAGTTATCATAGACTGCCACCAGTCCTCTGGTTTACTATCTGTCGCCGAGCGTTTAGAACTGATGACGCAAAGTTACTTGTCAATTCAAGTCTGAGTACAGATTGCCGTTATAGTTTTCAGTAATCCTACTTTAACAGGCAGTGCAGATTGTTCGTGCTATATGTGTCAACAATTTGTGATAGCAATGTGCAGGCTTGTATAAAAAAGGCCATCTGTTCAGTGACGTCATTGACAGTGACACGATTATTTCATTAAAACTTCATTTCGAGTATTGTTCCTGTGGGATTTCGTTCATTTGCCTTCAGTCGGCAGGATAAAAGAGCTTATCGCTGACTGGTGACTTCGCAATATAGTTATACGGTGAACTACAGGGTGAGTCCAAAAAAGCGGAACCCAAACCTTGAAAATACATTTAATATTTACAAAAATATGTAGCACCAAAAATAATAATTTCTGGTAAGCCGATTTCCTAAGCTACTTTTAGATGAAAAAAATACTGAAATTGCTCAATTCGTTCAAAGTATATCACCATTTAAACACAAAAACCCTAAAACCTCTTTCGTCCAAAAATGGAATTTCAAGGATCGTCGTCACAATTGTCTTCAAACATCACCAGCGATAAAACCTCAGGTTAAAAGTTAAAAATATTCAACAAAGTCCTTTTGAAGGCCCGCCTTTTGCAAAAAAAGGGGATTTTGTAAATCATATTGTTTGCCTAAGCACGATTGTTAATAATGATATTGTGTACTGTTGTTGACAGTTGTCGAAACAAGTTTTCTGTGTCAGTTTCTTTGTTGTTCCAAACAGTTCCAAATAAATTGGGGTTTGTTTTGTTTAACGAAACAGGTTTTTAGGGTCATTGCGTTTAAATGGTGATATTCTTTGAACGGATTGAGCAATTTCAGTAATTTTTTCATCTAAAAGTAGCTTATGAAATTGGCTTACCAGTCATTTTTATTTTTGGTGCTACATATTTTTTTAAATGTGAAATATATTTTGTTTGGGTTTGGGTGCCGCTTTTTGACTCACCCTGTACATTGATTCTCCAATGATTGGACAGATAATGAGACACGAGACCTAAATAAACCAATCATCGTTTAAGTGCCCGTCATTTTTCATAAAATGGCGCATTTTCATTGTGTTCAATCCCTTTCTGGGATTCAACTTAAGGCCGCATGTCAAGAAATGGAAGTGACTAATTTCCCGCCATTTTCTGTCTTCTTTATTCTCCTGTCCAGACTCTTCGTCGTTGTCTGCGTTCCAGCGGTTACTCAGCCAACTCCGAACGGCTTCGGAGAGCCACTCAGAGGCGTTGCAGCAGCTTCAGCAACTACGAGACATGGGCGTCATTGACGAGAACAACCAGGTCATCAGTATACCCGCGGACTTGCGAGCGAAGATGGAACAGCTGGGTTAAAACGTCACTTCAACGACTGCACGGGGAGACTACGAGCTTGACATTTCTGTTGTTTCGTCATCAAAAGGTTTCTTTAGGCCTACATAGAGAAAACGCGCTTAATGAATGGACAGGATCCTTTGTTTCAAAGGCCAAACAAGTGTTTTTCGAGTTGAAGGGTGCTCTGGATGGTTTTGAAACAAGTAGCCAATAGATGTCTACCATGGTAACGGTCGATACTGCGCATGTATGACATAGGTCAAAGCGCACGCGCATAACGTGATTGGTCCAAGTATTCCCTCCGTCGGTAAAACCTGAAATTACTTCACGGTATAGAAAACGCTGGCCGTTATCGGCCACCGTATATTTAACAACACTTTAAAGATATTTTCTTGTTATTTATTCTTAATTTGTCATTATGACCAAGAAGACTTTAGGTAAAAGAAGTTTATGCGAGGATTATTGAGGCCTAAATAGCTGATGACTCGCAATGTATGTATATAGTGCACTAAGTGTCGTTTCTGAGGAAACAAAATTAAAACTTGCTCTATATTTTTCCGAAGCAGAAGTTAATGTGTATATTTTCTTGCTTATGTATTGTGCTAAAGCTTTTCACCTTTTTCTGTAACCAGTCCTTTAAATGACAAATGGTCCGGTAAAATACAGCAGCTTTAATTATTGTAGCGCTTGCTCGATTTACACTGTGAATGGTCGAGGTGTCGCAGCGTACAAAAAGCATCTGTCAGTATAAACTCCCTGATATCACTGTGTGAAGCATTTGCACACGCAGTGGCAAAGTCGTGAAGTTCCTGTGACAAGATAAAAAGACGAAGAAGAAGAAAAACGTTGTATTTTAATTTTAATATTACTGCCTTGGCCGACTATACCTATCCAACGTCAGAGTCATGAAACGACATTATTATTAAATACCCGATATTCGGGGTAAAATCAAGACAAAAATGAACCACAGTAAAGACGGTTCAGCAAATCAAGGATTTATCTACGTAGGTGTAATATGAAGGTTTTGGCCAAGAATGCCACAAATACAGAAGATGCAAATTCAATAACGTTGTAACCATATTATACCGCAACGTCACCGCGTTGTGTGCGCTTCTATAATGTACGACTGCTGAAGCCCCATTTTTAATTGAAGTGCTGTTTGTTCAATACGACCTTGCACTAATTTCGTCCGCCCCATCGTGACAACAAAAAGCAATTAACGCTAGCTAAGATTATCCCAACAACAAGATCGCCATTAAATTGACAAAATGTATTCATGTGTTTATAAGGCAACTAGAACCTCTGGCATCAAACAGTCGTTGTGTTGTTAGCATTATTATTTGTATTATTATGAATATTGTAAATACATTAAATCCAAAATCTGATATATTATATTATAATATATGTTTGTTTTATCTGCAGGAGCTGTATAAATTATTGTTGTTGTTATCATATGGACTGATATGATCGGTTATATTTTATTTATCTGCAACTTCTCTTGTATTTCTGCTGCTGCTTTTTTTGGCCAGATTTACGTTTCTGGCATCTTCTAGTCTATGTATTTCGCTTTAAACTCTATTATTATTGCTGTTTCACATCTTTAATCAACCATTCCAAACTCAGTACCGATGAACCTCAACTCGAATTTGTTTTCGAGACTTTGCCGTCATTATGTTTAGCTTATGTTTTTTTTTTTGGCAGTTTCTTTTATATTATGCCTTTATCAGTAACATGTTCGCTAGATTTACACAGAATTTAAACGTCATTTATGTCAATGTAAATCGCCACGTGTTGATGTTTTAGTGAGAATTTAACAGAAACAAACAATTGCTATTGGAAGACTCACATTGTGGACATCTTGGTCACATCCCCAGACTGCGCGTAAGATTTCTCGATGGATACTAAATGGATAGACAAAAGCACTGCCGAAGATACCAGACTAAAATTGAAACTGGTATTAAGCGTCTTATTGCGATATTGTTTATGGGGTGCGTGGGAACCAGGATGACCACTGTGTGAAGATTGTAGCAAGCAATGTACACGCTTTTGCTCTTTACTTTTAAAGATGTAGACTGACAAGATTGAATTTAATTCAACGACACTTGACTTAATGTCCAGCAGTACAGTACTTATTGTGCTTTTGCAGCAGTGTTTGCCACGCAAAAAAAGATAGAAACCTGTAAAATGTCTGCCAATTATTGACAAAACCTGTTGTAGTTGTATGAACATAATTTAGTCTGTAATGTAGACTGACCAATTTTACGTGACGATATTAAGTGTTATCGATAACACATTTTTGACGCCAAAATTGTGGGTTAGCGGGAAAGTTTCGTCTGATATTTTTCACGGATATTTAAGATCTGAAGTGCGACGTCCCGTGTCATGAGCAGCCCTACAGGCGGGGTAAACCTAGGATTTGCTGTCAGCAGAGGGTTGATAGACAGGGAAATAGGCACCCCAGAGATTTGAGAGTTTTTGTCTTGATGAACTCGGAATAATCCAAAAACAGTGGGGAAAACAGCTAAGTCTATTTGCAAACGAGTCGCATTGTAGAAACCTTATCCCTTAATGGAATTACATTTGTAACGAATATCGAGCGAGGCTGCTGGCAGGATGGTCACTGATGATGTCACGTAGAGTTTCCGCTGATGGGTAGAAACGAGAGAGAGAGAGAAAAAAAAGCGCGCCAAATCGACCCAAATGGCGCGAAAACTAAAACCAGTGTGTTGATGATGTGTGGCGTGTATGCATGGAGGTGTTCCTTACGGAATCAAGTCTAGGTGTTTGTGACTGTAAACAGTCTTCTTCGTTTAAGGGTTTTTCCTGTAGGGAGGCGGGACTGGCTAACGCGTTTAACTGCTCCTAATTACATTAATTTCGACACGTCGGTGCTATCCGATCCGGCAGTAGCCTTTCCGGTCAAGTCTAGCGGGCTGTGCACTTTCACCAACTTGCCGGATTGATCCGAGGTTTTCAGGAACAATCTTCCTCGCAAATTGTCGCTCTTAAAAAGTGCATCTCTGCCAATGATACGCAGTCAAATTCTTCAATTGTCTCTCTGGTTTCACTCTATTTGCATCGGATTTTGCCGCGAAATATTCCCTGACATGACAACAGTTAAAACGGCGCGCCTATTTGTATAGTAATTCTGCCTCTTTTTTTCCCTTTTCGGCTCTGGGAAAAAAATGACAACGTGTTTGATGTCCTGTCCGTAAATTTGCAGAAAGTGTTAAGCTTGCATTGCCGCTAGGCAAGCCATTACGTGGATTTGAAGAGTTGAATGTTAGAAAGTAAATGATTCGATTTGCTACAGCTTCGCTTCCGTACAGTAAATCGTAAGATAGGCTTTCCCAATACAAGTCGCAGATAGTGTCGTTGTGACTACGCGGTTGTAGTCTGCGATGATGTCTGTACCGATCTGCGATGTCGTTACGATTGTATAGAAGCGAGGCTGAAGGCTTGTGATGCAAACATTTAAGATTGTATGTAAACGTACATTTAAAAGACACAACAAGGCGAAATGTTGACATTGCATTTTGTGCTGATGACGATATAGTGATATTGGTAGAATAATTAAAACCACTAAGCATCTGAAATAATTTGAACTTTGACCTCTGTTGTCTACTTTATTCATTGTGTCTTTCCCCTCCCCTTATAAGTGTGTTCGTTAATTGACATTGTGTGAATGTTCGTCTTTATGGTCTATCATCCAGTAAGCTTTGTGGAACTGAGCTGCAACAAATGACAAATGATCAACGAATGGCAAATTATTGATAGAAATTAGGAGGATCTTGGCATGATGATTCGACATAATCAGTTTCTCTCAATTAAGTTTGTTTTCATAATACGATGTCACTCTTGAGAATCGTCATACTCACTCCCAACGAACGCAGACATAAGATGAACACAGAGCTTTTGTTTGTGTTCTGCTGTATATATTTCAGACGGTCGATCGCGTTTGCTTGCGGGTCTCCGTGTTCGAGTCCCGCCCTCGCACATCGTTCTGGATTTGACCTTATTAAGTCCGGACAAACTTTGGCCGGGAGCGAATTTGCAATGAGAGAAGACAATGCAGCAAATAAGAACTTCTAGGAGATTCGGAAGTCACGTGATATCGCTAAACATGAAAACGATCGTCTTTTGTAGTAAAAGGGTTGAATCTAATTAATATTTCAGACAGGGAAAAACCCTCCCGCACTGGATCTCATGCATTTCAATTAACCACAGCTTCAAGGGAAATGAAAATAACTTATCAAACCTTCCGGTTTTTTGGGTTGGTTTTTTTCTAAAGCGCATCTTGATGCTGGATGAAGGCTACCGATTCATGCCAATGATTTTAGCCTTGTTCTGTTGTTACGAATCCGTAATAAAGAAGATTTACGTAGTTGTTGACTCTGATGTAATAGAAATTCCAGCCGATTTCCTGAAAGAACAAGGATATTGGAGTTTTATTTGTCCGGTTATTCTTGCTGAAAACACCTTCAGTGTCCGGTAGAAGGAGGTGGGAGGTGTGTAATGGCCAGAGATGTCCGGTTGCCCGGATGTAGGCTGACCATCGGCGAGACTAATTGGATGAAAGTGGAAACTTGGCCACCAAAACGACCAGAGTGAACGATTTCCATGATGCTCTTGTAGCACGCTATTTGAATTGAGAATTAACACAACATTTACCCACCCGGCACGTTGGCAAAACTAGACATGCATATTCATGAGCCTAACACGCGCGACTGTGGCATCATAGGGTACAACTACAAGTAGCTGATCACAGCGAGGTCAATGTCATGTGACAAAAACTGCATCCAATTGGAACATCAACCCTGAGCACTTCCACCGATGACGTCAATGCATCCATAATAACGACACAAATAAACTGTTAACCCATTACACCTGCCAAGAAGTCACGTGGTGTATAGAATTTAAGACTGGTAATAATTGATTCTACAAAGCAAAGCAAGTATCTTAGCAATATTTTCTACCTTTAACATCAAGCTCTGTAAAATAATTCCGGCAGACTGGGAACGAGTTAGCAAGCATCCAACCTAATCACGTGATAAGTTGACTTTCACTGACCCCACCCCTCCCCCTCCCCCACCCCACGGGGAGCCATTCCGTTCTTCAGGTTATGAATAAATGACATCCTCTTCCCGGATCCCATATTGCATTATTTTATTTTCCTCTACGGGTCGACTATTGATGACTCTCATCTGTTTTTACTGTTTCCCCCGGCGATGCAATACACACAAATATCTAAATTGCAGCTCCTGCACTTAAAACTAATATCCTGGCACGCAAGCTGTGCCTATTGGGAACAGACTAAAGTAGGCTCTAATTCTTTTTATGGAGGTCTTGGTCATCAACTACAAGATGAAAATCTGACCACGCATCCGTCAAAATTGTGATAGGAATTTCAACTGTGAGGTGTATTACTCAGCGACTGATGGTGGGCGTTACGGTGTGAATTTACCGTACGTAAACGTGACAGTGTGCGGTGGCTCTTTGCCGCTTTCGCTGCAACTGTTAATGAGTTAACAGAAGTGAAATAGGTTTGATTGGGGATATTACATAATAAACGACAACTTCACATAATGGATGACAACACCGCATAATAGGCTAACAGCATTCCAATACTAGTCTATTAATAGCCCCATCCTCATGATGAATATAATAAATTTGTAAGTTCGGCGTTCCATACAAACATGATGCTGTCTTGCCTTAATGATATGAATGGACATGTCTGTCAGGATTCCTAATTCCGGCCAAGAACTATACAATTTCGTGTCTCGGTAATTAAACAGTTAGATGGGAATATTGTTATGACGACTGTTTCATGTTTAAGATTTTACTCGATTCACAAGCCAACCTGTTTGTGCCAATCAATCAATACGTTTGTTGTTCCATGGGGTGCACCATTCTCTGAATTCCAAAACAGTGACAAAAATTTCCAATTTAATTTAAGCATCAGATTTCTTTAATTAACGCAACTAGGTCATCATTCCGGTCGTTGTAAAATGAGAAGCATCAAAATACAAATATTTATTGCAATATTGTAATTTTCCAAGACACGGCACAACAAAATTGACGTCACGGAGTGAAACTCGAACCTATTCCCAATTTTCACTTTTACCTCCCCAATTTCACAAATCTTCTCAGTTTCAAATATTAATGTCGGGTCGAAATCTGGTACCCGTGCGCCACCCCATCCCGCCTGCATCCCCTCATACATATGTGCAGGACACAGTTTTAAATCGGACGAAGAAAAACAGCATCTCCATGTCAAAAAATAAAATAAATTGTTTCTAAAGTTGCCTTCTTTGCCCAGAATTGTCCTAAAAAAAGAATTGCGGTCCAGAAATGAATTCTACCGTTTCTGAAAAAAAAAAATCCTTTAACACTGAAGTTTACTGGAAGGCATCGAAAGATATTACTTGACCTCCATCATTTTAATTTGACCACTCCCGCCTACAACGCTTTCTCTGAACCAACACCCAAGGATCTTCACCGACACAAACATTCGATCAGACAAGAATATTACCTTGAACATATCAACGGAAGGTATTTGTTTTTATGACGTCATATTCTGTTGTCCTATGACGTTCAATGATTGGATGACGTCACCCAACTAATTGCATCAGAATATTCTAGGTGGATCTGTATAGCAACATCACGGATGGCGATATTAAAAATGGCAAGCTTTAGGAACAAGTGGGTATGTATGACCTAAATGAGGCAGGGCTCAAGATGCTCGGATTGTCATGATGATAAGATTCATATTATATAAAATCTCCTTTTTAGGGCTTTAAGTATACACTTGGAAAAAAATTAAATCAAAGACAAAACAAAAATTAGTTAATATAAATACAACAAGTTCAGTAAGTTTTCGGTAAAATAACCCAAGATGCCTTAAGATGATAGGACGAATTGCTTGTCTTCGTTGATGTAGTAAGTTTCAGGTGGTATATTCAAAACGTCGCATTTGATTCGCGAGCGTATAATGTATACAGGGCAGTGACACATAAGTTGCGACAAGAATCGTTTCAGTTTCCGGACACAACATGGCTGCGCAGCGATGCGTGCATTGTATGCAAGCTTCACCATTTCATTTGGTGTCCATATGAGAACAGGTTTTGCTACTCTGCGGTTTTTTCCACAGGGATTTCATGTAATAATAATACACATTTATAACTTACAGTATTGCGTGTAATTTTTAACAGATCCCTACATAAAAAACTACCACATCTCCATAAATTTTCCTTCCGCAATCAAGAACAATGAAGAATAATTGTCTTGAGCCAAAGAATCAAGATTGATTCTCGCATCATTACTCAAGCCAAACTTCGCCCAGTGAGCTCCGGTGATGATGATTGCGGATCATAATACAACTCATTTATTTCACAACTGGCTGATATGCGGAGAACCATGGGTGAGTTTTATTGAAATCTGGGTAATTTGATAGGAAAGAGGGCAGAGATATTGAAGACACAGTATGTGGCATGCAGCCAGTCATACGACGGAACTCATTATTATTATTATAAATTAGGTTTTTTTATGTCTGCTTCCGAGCAGTGGCCGTCCGTCAACTAAATTTTGGTCTATTGGTTATTTCTAATTTTATTTGGAGCATAAAATGGTTACTAACAATATTAAGGTCAAATTTGTCATTTGATGAGCAGTGCTACTGGCAAGATTTTCGTTCTAAGAATTAGGGCCTTTAGTGAATGCATGTCCAGCAGGTTTTATAAGTATTGCGATAAATCCAGCCATTTTTAGATGAAGACATGTTTGGGAAACATTAGTGGGAATTTAATTTTTCTTAACGCAATTTAGTTGCAATTTAATGTTTAAATGCAATGTGATGTCCCGGCGGGCTCCATCCGGATATTGAATTTTGCAATGTTTAATTTGATTTGAGAAGGACGCATGGAACTTAGAAGGGTCGGCATAAGTAATGTTTCATCAAAGTTGCGAATGGGAACTGTTTGGTGGGTAGTTTTGGAAACAACGCAGGTGAGCGTGTGTACGCTGCAGTCGCACATGAAAATGAGACAAAATCGTCTCAATATCTGGACACAAGATGGATGCGGGGCCATCTTCATACTCATCTTGATAATGCACAATGCAGTGCTGGTACGAGAACCATTTTCGAAGTCTAGTTTTCGCAACTCTAAGATAAATCTACAATGACAGTAGCAGGCTACCGGCAGGTTTGCGTGTAATTTACCAGGTCCCTACATATCCGGACAAACGGACTCTTTGCCCATTAATTTTCCTCCCGCAAGAACAATGAAGAGTAATTGTCTTGGGCCAAAAAGAATCAAGATTGATTCTCGCATCATTACTCAAGCCAAACTTCATCCAGTGAGCTCCGGTGATGATGATTGTGATCATATTACAACTCATTGACGTTACAACTGGCTGAGTTGTGGAGAAATAGAGTGAGTTTTATTGAAATTTGGGCAATTTGACATGGAAAGAGGGCGTAGATATTGAACACACAGTGGGTGGCATACGGCCATTCATCCAAATGAACACATTTAATGTCTTGGGTTGAGTCGTCATGCCTTAAGGAGGATCGGTTGATGTTTCTTCCACTGTTTTTTCCTTCATTTTTATTTGAGAGCATGGTAAATGGCTATAAATAGCGATTAGATTTGTTATTTGACTTACTGTCATATTTCAAAGATTGATGTTGTTTTCTAGAAGACGGTAGCTTGTTTATAGAAGCACTTTGACAAGTTCTGTCCTTTTTTCAGTTGAAGAATGAAAAAAGAATTGATGGACAAAGATTAAGTGCAAGCAAATTGGGTGTATAGACGTTCACCAATATTTATATTGTTTTTGGGGGGTTGGCCAATTTTTCTATAATATAATTGTATTATGACTATATTATTTTTACATTCGCATGAAAACTTCAATAATTGGGGGTGTATTTTAGCTCATCAGGCGACAATCAAATTAATGAGGTTAATTTGTGTAGGTAGATATAAAGTTGATAATGATGGTCCACTGTTTTCGGTAAATTTTAAAGAATAGGACTCCGTCAGACACAAATAGGCCATCCTATAAGGACAGGTTGAATAAAGCATATTAATTCAATCATCCAGAGATATTGGGGGGGGGGGGGCGTACCATACTTTCAATAGGAGCGTTGTTGAATCCGACGATCATGGCCACTTTATTACAGAATAGTGTACACATACCCCCCGTACCCCAGCTGGCTCAGTCCTAATGTTGTGCACAGGTGGACATCATTAACGGTACAATTGCCATAATATTTTTTGGGTGTCAGAGCATAGGGGGCGGGGGGGGGGGGTTCACATAATTAATCCGACGATCATGGACACTATATTACAGAATAGTGTACACATACCCCCCCCCCCGTACCCCAGCTGGCTCAGTCCTAATGTTGTGCACAGGCGGACATCATTAACGGTACAATTGCCATAATTGTTTTTGGGTGTCAGAGCATAGGGGGCGGGGGGGGGGGGTTCACATAATTTGTACTACATTTATATCAAGAGGCTCTTGACAAAATGCATTTATGCACCCTTCATCAACGTAGGAACGAAATATGCCTCAAATTTGCCACTGAATTAAGAAAATCTGTCAGTTTCAAAGATTGGCTTCCTAAACAGGGGGGCGATCAGGTGCAATATAACTTGAGAGACAGCCAACAGATCTCTAGAGTGAAGTGTAAGACCAACAGATATGCAAACAGTACTATTCCTTATTTAGTGGCCTCTTAAATGCAAAATAATTTGGTCAATAAGACATCTATGCCTGCTCACCATCAATAGTAACAGTGCTGCATGTACATGTATCTCAGAGTTTTTAGCTTAATGTTTTTTAAGTGTAGTAAGTAATGTTTTTAATGTAGTAAGTATCCACATTCTTTTTTATTAGGGGGGGGGGCTGTGGTTTCAACGTATTGGTGTGTGCATACATATTTTTGGGTGCTGGTTCTGGTAATTGATACATTTGTTGTTATGTGTTGTCTTGTTTTCAAGGCAGGAACCACCTACAATAATTAGTCATACATGTATTACAAAGTGCAATTTCGGGTATTGTTTTTATTAAGTTGTATTTTAGCAACCATTCACTTTTCTAAGGGGGGGGGGTGTTTGTTTTAGATATATATTTCTGTGTTGAGTTTTGATATTGTGTAGCGTTGTTTGCTCTATATTTTTCTTAATATATTTTATTGTTGTAAGTAACTTGTGGTGTCTTGTGTATGTGTATAACATGTTTATTTTTCTGAGGAAGTAGTTCAATTTTGTTATGGAATTTTACCCTGTCTTTTAATGTTTATATGTTGTTTTTTATTGTAAAAATTGATGCAATTTAGCCATTGGCTACAAGTTCAATTTCAATAAACCAACAATAATAATAATATGCAAAAAAAATGAGTCAGAGCTGCGGGGGGGGGGGGGGGGGTCTTGACCCTCCACCCCTGGATCTGCGCCTGCCCACTATTAAAAAAACCTCCATTAAAAATAGAATAATAACCATGTCAAAACTACGGGGTCTTTATATGCGATATGCGTTGGTCGACGGTCAAACCGGATTGCGAGAAAAAGTTGAAAACTTCCATGAGGCAGCTGATGTCTTATCAGCTTTAATTATACCCAAGAACCTTATTAGGACAGACCGTTAGGTTGCGGTTTTTACGGGAAGGGGAAATCCTCTTCTTTCAAGAGTAGGTGCCAAATATTTGTGAAAAGGATTTCCCATTAAGAGTGTGGCGGCATGTCTTTGATTGGTGTTATGTAAACTCTCAACTATTCCTGGAATTTACTTCCGGTGAAGTGAAAGGAAAAGTTCCGGAATGGTTTTGTATTCCTCGGTCGTGGTGGGGGCAAGGACGTGGTAGGCCGGGGGACCTCCGCACGGAAAAGTTAACTATCCTGTTTCCAAATCCAAGCTCAAAGGGCCCATGACAGGATTTTACTTGGGAACATTATTTTGTGCAACTTTCTACTCCTCTTAAATGTATGAAAAACAACTTGACATCCCTTTTGGTTAATCTAATTTAAAAGTGCACTTCTTTAAACATTTCTAACAAAATCCATGCTTTTCGGGACAAATGAGGGCGTTGTTGCCGTGATGTCATTTCAGGAAGGCACCGTTCATTCTAGAAGTTTTCTGTTCAAATTGTGAACCCCACAAATTTGCTCATTGAAAACCTTTGTGAGAAAAGTTTGCTCATTGGCTTACTGCCATGTACTGACACAACAACGAATCACAAAAGGAAAGAAAGAGTTAACGACAGGGAAATCTCCAAAATTCTGGCAACTTTTTGTACTGAAACTAGTTGTAATGAGGTTTCTGAAATGACATCGTACTTTTGCTCATGAATTTATGGAAAGTTTCATTAGCTTAAAAACCAAAAAATCACCAAATACCCTTGAAAATAGCAAACTGAAAATTGAAAATAAGGTTAAATGGGACACAAAGGTACATTTTCAAGGATTGCATTTTTGTTCACTCCTTTTCATGGGTTCGTTGTTGTAGTCTCTTACATTTCAAGTAGACAGTTTCAATGTTATTTCGGTTGTGTACTATATGAACCTAGCAAAAAAATAACTGAACAAGTTGTGTAATATTTTACACAAGTTGTGTAATATTTTACACAAGTTGTGTAAACAACAGTTCAAGTTACACAACAGGTTGCTAGGTTCATATAGTATACAACCGTTTGATTTTTACACAACCGACGCGTGCAATAAACAAATTGGGTCGGTAAACTGGTCTTCGTTAGATAGGAAAAGAAACGAAAAGTGAGAAATATTTTGCGGTTTTAGTGAAACTGAATGATCAAATGAAGAATCGTTCAAGGCAAACATGACAGGAAAAAACCCCACTGTATTGAGGGCGCTGGTTATTACCGAGTGCATAGCCTGTATAGCGCTTTGGTACGGCGCGGTGGAGATAAAACAGTCGTCTGCTTATTGGATTGATTTATTTGAGTTCTCTTGGTGGCGCTATTTACAAATAATGGTTTGCAGTGGTTCAAGTCTAGTCTGCAAGTGCAAGTGCAAGCCTTCAACTTCAACTTCAAGGTAAATTATAGTCTGCATTGGCATTGCAAATTTGCACCTTTTCTGATGAAAAATGGTTTGTTTTTATAAGGAGCAGGATGTTTTGTCTACATTGTTCATGCTTCAGTCACAAAAGGCATGAAGGTGGACCTTCTTCTAGAATCTGATTAAGAAAGAAGGTCCACCTTCTGACCTTCCTGCCTTTTTTTTTTTTTTTTTTAATGAATTGCGCTTTGGTTTGCTGAAGGGGGGGGGGGGGGGGGGTAGGTGGAGGTGTACGTGTTCATCTTTTCAAACCGTGGACGAAATATACCAGAGAAGAACAATATCATCCACGATTCCCAGCATACGTCCGCGATTGGGGTCGTGTACAAAACCTATGGGAGTCTTCCTAAAAAGTTTTGTACAAACAAAAGAGGGACAATAGGACGTCCACGATCGAAGGTGAACACACGTTTGGGTGTGTGTGTGTGTGGGGGGGGGGGGGGGGGGGAGGGGGTTACCACTTTTAGACCCCCCAATCCCCGTACGTACGAGTACTAGTCTAGGGATGGAAGGGAAGGGGGGGGGGGGCGGGTGAGTTATGAGGTCTATTGATCCGTTCATCATTTTTTTTGCAGGTTTTAACGAAAGGGATTATTTGCCAGCATGAATCCAGACATCCATGCGCTGTGTGAGAGACTGATCCCAGCTACGTATGTCCAGCAGGGACGTGAGGCTAGACGAGCCCATGAAAACAAGGTACATGTACACCTCCCCTAGTGGGAAGCCAATATTCAGAGCAATACGTAGGCCTAAAACCCTTTAAAAAACCGGAGTAATTGCAGAATATCCCGCCACTCGGAAATACACCCCTAAATTCTCTGGCTACGAGGTTGGAATCACTGGAAAAGAAACAGTTCAAGTCCATGCCAGCTACGCGGATACTGAGCATGCTGAGTGGGGGTCCATTATTTGAGAACGAAGCAACACAAAAGGAATGGGAGTTGCTGAAAAAAATTCTAAGTCCAAACCAACCACCCTGTTGGCGGCTACGAGGCTACGGAGTGGGAGTCCCCTTGAATATGCTTGAGAACGAAGCAACACAAAAGGAATGGGAGTTGCTGAAAAAATTCTAAGTCCAAACCAACCACCCTGTTGGCGGCTACGCGGTTACGAAGTGGGAGTGCAATGGAGCATGACGCATAGTACATACAAGTAGCGCTGAGAATGTTTATTGAGGTCAACCAACCGTGACCTCGTAGCCGGCTACGAGGTGGATAGAACGAGTGGCGGGGTATTCTGCAATTGTGCCAAAAAACCTGCTAAGTTTCAGGTGAAGAGATATGAAGTGTTCAATTATAACTGTGGCATACAGAGAGTCACTGCCTACAAAAAAAAAAGCACTGCACTGCGGAGAGCAGTGAAGCGTGACTGAATCTGTCTGCTTGCCGGCCCTGGGCTTAACCATACCAAAGAATTGTGCAGGGATTTGAAGTGTTATCCATACTCCACAGAAGATTACCTCAAGGAATTTGAAATGTGGATGCTACATAGAGCTACATGTATATTAAATTACTAGAGCGCTAACTCGATGTACAAAGTAATGCCTGATGGGCGCATCCATGTTTGTACACAAACCTATGGAAAACTTGAAATTTTGCACGGCTCTTGTACAGTTATTTGCATATCTGCGTTTGTATTCCATACTGATGCGTCATCGAAGCCAATACGCCCAAAACCGAAACGCACAATCAGCAAATGAGCGTTTCATTTTGCTCTACGCAAACAGCGCAACGTGTGCGCGTCCCTGGGCCCTCTGCTGCAGATGCTTTTTGCCGTGACTTTTTTTAACCGTCATGACGCGCTGAAGTTGTCTGCGTATGTTCTACTTGCGCGTTGCATGTAGAGAACACTTTCAAAATTCAATCCATCTACTTTCATTGTGTTCTACAAACACGCACATGAATTCAAAATGTCTGCGCCCAGGACGGCTTCAAAGCGTCTCGCGCAGAATGAGGAGTTAGCGCTCTAGTAATTTAATATAGCTCTATGGGGTGCTATTAACTCTATGGGGAAAAAGTGGTTTTGCAAATTTGAATGGTTGTGAAGTGCAGACGACTAGGATGGTTAATCTGCCCAGTACTGCGCAGTCTTTGTAAATCTGTATCCACCTGAAGAAATTTCAAACTATAGAGGGCGCTGTTTTCATTTTTAGATTCGCAACCTTCTTGAGCATCGGAAGTGGCCGGAGGAAGGCTGGGATGATGCAACCATTGAGCTTCTCCTACAGGAGCTGAGTGTGATGGATAGCAATAACTTCACCGCCAATTGTGGGGTCGGGGAGCGGGAGGCGAGGATTGCATCGTCACTGGTTGCTAGGAGACACTACAGGTGGGCGGGGCTGAGATTTGTTGAAGGAGGATGGAAGAAGTGAAGAGTGAAATTCCTCTTGTTGCTGATGAAAATACAACTTGAAGTCTAATAATTGTTCTTATTCCGTTAGCAAAGCCTCACAATTAAAACTTGATATGAAATGTTTGTGTGCTTTGCAAACTCATCAGCTACTCTGCAGTTACATGTTTAGGCAAAAAAAAAAAAATAGTTCTGCTTCCGGTTACCCTACCTACCCTATTTTGACAGCCCCTACCCTAATTTTTTTGAGGAAAAAATGAGGGGGAAAACCTCGAAAATCATCAATTACTACCTTTTACCCTTGACTACACCCAGACACCTCCATATTATCATACAAAAAAATTGTCCCCCCCCAAAAAAAAAGTCCCTACCTACCCTAATTGCAAATGCCATGTAATTTTTTGCCTTACTCCACAGAGCATTAGTTTTTCATTGTTGCAACACTATCAATGGTTAAGGTTAAGCACCTTCATCAGCTTGCATGCTTGAAATAACCGATATACTGTTGTATGTGTACTATCAAAGTACACAAGATCTGAAGGCCAATTGTGAGGAGTGTGCAGCTAATATGTAGTCATGGGGCTGATGTCCATAAGCAAGATACTTGATTGCAATTGTTTTTGTCAGCTTATGAGCTTTTCAGTCTCTGCTCATTAATTTTGTAAAGTTGTGACCAAGTTCTTTCTCTGGGTTTGAACTTTGAAGTGTTAAATGAAAGCGTTGTGCAAGCATTTACTCTGATGGGTTAAGTTTGCCTATAATCATAGAGAGTTGTATTTTATACAACATTGTTGTCATGTTTCAGACTTGGTCATGGGATTGGTCGTTCAGGGGACATCGCTGCTATACAACCCAAGGCTGCTGGCTCTAGCATCCTGATGAAACTGACTAACGCCATGGCACTAGACGCTCTCAGAATAACAGGTAACACTTGATGTTATTCTGGGGTTTGTTGGGTCACTATAATCCTTGTTTTGTGATATTCCTTGAGAGATTCGCTTGCTTTTATGTCCGTAATATGCAACATCTATTACACCACTCTACTAAATAGTTATGAGCATCGTTATCACTATAGCTCCATTTTATTGCCAAAGCTATTTCTTGAATTAACTATTCAAAAGTGCTTTGAGGTACTACGGCTCTCATAACAGCCCTTCAAATGAAGACAATGGATAACTTATTCGGACAGCAATGTTGACAATTTCTTGAGGGTAAACACACAGAAGCAGATCGGTCCTTGAAACAAACTCAACTTTTGTTGGCCTTGCTGGGATTAAATAAAGTTTTGAGATATTTTCAAATAAACCACAAAGGCATCTTACTAGTGCCCCTTGAACAAATTGGCAAATTGGGCTGGATAGCTCAGTTGGTAGAGCACTGGAATGGCAATCCGGAGGTTGCAGGTTCAAACCCTGCTCCAGTCAATTTCTTTGTCCAACTTTAAATTTAGTTTTGAGATGCTTGTACAGGTGGTTGATTTGGCATTTGATTGTTCCATCAGGTGTTCGTTCTACCGCAGCCTGTTTTGTTGTCCCTCTAGCCACCGGAATGAGCCTTGTTCTTTGTTTCCTTGCCCTACGTCAACTCCGACCCAACGCCAAGTACATCATCTGGCCTCGTATTGACCAGAAGACTTGTTTCAAGTCTATACTGACCGCTGGATTTCAGCCAATCATCATTGAGAATCGTCTAGAAGGGGATGAACTAAGGACAGACGTTGAGGAGATTGAACGGAAAATCCAGGAACTTGGTGCGGAGAACGTCCTGTGTGTGTTCTCGACGACATCTTGCTTTGCTCCGAGGGTACCTGATCGTCTTGAGGAAATTGCCAAATTATGCAAAGACACTGGTGTGGGGCATGTTGTGAACAACGCATACGGCGTGCAGTCTTCAAAATGTATGCATCTGATTCAGCAAGCATCCAGAGTGGGAAGGGTGGACGCCTTCGTCCAAAGTACCGACAAAAACTTCCTTGTTCCTGTTGGGGGATCAATCATTGCTGGAACGGATGAGAGATTCGTGGATAAGATCGCGCAGACTTTTCCCGGTCGCGCATCTGCGTCGCCCTCTATTGACCTCTTCATCACGTTTCTTTCCCTTGGAGCAAACGGTTACAAGAAACTTCTGAAGGAGCGAAAGGAGATGTATGTTTATCTTCAGGAGGAACTGAAGAACATTGCAGAAGCCCATGGGGAGAGGTTGCTGGGCATGCCCCATAACCCTATCTCCATGGCGATGACCTTAGGTCAACATGCAGAGGATGATGGGAAGGCAGTGTCAGAGGTGGGATCCATGCTCTTCAAGAGAAACGTGTCGGGAGCAAGGCAAGTTATAATCAATAGCTGATCTATGGGGAAGGGTGAGGGGGAGGTTTATTGGGGTTAACATCCCTCCTTGGGTCGCAAAAAAATAAGAAAATTGACCTGGTGTTGACATGGTGTTTACACATTGTTGATATGGTGTTAACATGGTGTTAACATGGTGTTGACCTAGTATTAACATGGTGTTGGCATGGTGTTGATATGGTGTTGACCTGGTGTTTAAACATTGTTGATATGGTGTTGGCATGGTGTTGGCATGGTGTTGATATGGTGTTGATATGGTGTTGACATGGTGTTGACCTAGTATTAACATGGTGTTGACATGGTGTTCACTATGATGTTTTTTCTTTCTCTTTGTTTCATAGGGTTGTGCCCAAGGGTGTCACCAAGACCATTGGCGGCTATGACTTCACTGGCTACGGCTCACACTGCAATGAGTACACTACCGGCTACCTGACAGCAGCCGCAGCCATTGGGATTACTAAAGAGGATGTGGATTTGTTTGTGAAGCGGCTAGACAAGGTGTTAGCCAAGAGAGCAGACAAGAAAGCCAAAGATGTAGGGTTGGATGATGTCAATTATGCTTGAGGCTCTGGTAAGATTCAGAGCAAGGCCAACGAAAGAAATTCACTTTAAAGTCAGTCATCCAAATTTTCCAGCAGAATAGGGTTGATCTTGAAGTCAAATATATTTTCCTAGGTTGCGTTACAATTGAACTTAGATTGGAGCTTGAGTAATATTCGTGGGGAGTGTGGCCTAGTGGCTAGGGTTTGTGTCTCATGGACAGTTGGTCAGGGGTTCGAATCCAGCTGCTGGCCATATGTTGTGTCCTTGGGCAAGCCACTTCACCCCCACTTGCCTCTCTCCACCCAGGATTATAAATGATACCGGCATTAGCTGGGGAGTAACCTGCGATGGACTAGCATCCTATCCAGGGGGAATAGAATATTCTTAGTCGTTTCATGCTACTGAAACCGCAGATAAACGCCGGCCTGATGAGCCACATTGGCTTGTGACAGACTTTACTTGAGTTACCCAACCCAGTAGATTGTAGTCGGGTGCAATTTGATGAGTATCAATACGAGTACAGCAAAAACATTAAAGAGTTTGCAGTAAAACATTAAAACTGTCAAATTATAAAAGAAAGGATGAAGAAAAAGCAGCCCTAGAAATTTGATAGCTTTGCAATATTTCACAATGTACAGCGTACACTGCAATGATTTTTTTAAAGAGGCACCGACTAAGATGGCTGTTAAAATTTGTTCAGTTTTATAATCAGTATTTTGTGCTTATTTTTACTGTAATTTTTTAATCCAGAAGTGGGCACATTGAATTTTACCAACAGACTCGGTTATACAGAAACCAGTCAAGAAATTCACTTTTTGGGTTTGGAAAAACACAAATCTTTATTTTCATGGAGTAAGATGTTGATTACAGCTTAAGAGAGTGTTTCTAGTAAAAGCTTGCAGATAAGATGAAGTTTTTGTCTCGTATCGGCGTCAACAATGACTGCTCCAAGGAAAGCCTCTGTGATTTCAGCGACATCTTTTGGCCAGAATTTTGTTCCTGCATCAGTACGAAGAAAAACGGAATGGTCCTTCATTAAACATCATTTAAAGGGAATGTACAACATTTGGTTTTGCTGCAATTTTCAGAAATAAATGGATTTGGAGGATTATGTATGAGTATGTTTTAGAAAATATTGTTAAACTGACTTAAGTCACGTTTTGGGCTTGTAGATGCTGGAAAAACCAAGAAAACCTATCCTATTCTTGTAGTCTGGTTCCCTGACCCCACTTAAGATGAAATGGAGCAATTAATACACTTTGGGAAACTGAAAGGTCAGAGAATCAGTCTAGCAAGCTTGAACTCCTGTGTAATCAATTGCAAAGAAAAGTCAGAATAACTAAATATGAAAAAGTAGGAACAGTTTTTGAAAAAAGCCAGTTTTTCTTGAAAATGACAGCACACCAGGAGCCACGGTTTTAAAGGATGTCATTTCCTAACAATTCAGTAAGGTATTACGTGATAATTTGATCATTCCGTTCTTTGATGTTTGCAAATGTTGTATCTTCCCTTTAAGCAAAGACTGAAATCTACCTAATGGCTATGTGCATGACTATAGAGGGCGCTGTTCACCTAATTATAGAGGTGTGTGGATGTCACCTGCATTACACTGGTGCAATAAACTGACTACATTTGGGAATCAATACAGTCAAGAGAAGGCGGGGTTTAGCTGCATGAGTGACAAGCCACCCCCAGTCTGTGGGTGTGGTTTATACAAGCGTGGAACTGCATTAATGTATTAGCTGCTAAATTTCTGATCAATTCCTGAATAAGACCTGTACCAATCCATTCATCTATTGCTTGTATGACCACTCCCAGTATATGGGTGTGGTTTATATGGGCGTGGTTCAGATGGAACAGCATTTAATGTATTACCTGCCAGGTGTCCTGTGAGTTCCTGTATAAGCCCTGTATCAATCCATCCATCCAACGCTTGTATGACCACACCCAGTATACGGGCGTGGTGAACATGGACCAACACTGACACATCAGTGTGAGATCTCTGCACACTGAATTGTGGCGTCTTCCCATACACCCAGTTCCAACTCTGCAGGAAAATTATAAACAATTTTTTCAACATACTCTTAAACAAGTTAAATCATGATCAGATTTATCTTTCAACATCGCACATCAACAAATCAAGCATTAACATCAAGTGGCATTTTTAGGGAATATTTGAAATTCGGGAACATGAAAAAAGCCATAACTAACAAGATTTTATTTGGGAAAAAAATCAAGAATGGATTTGAACCAAAATTTAAACGGGCAGGAAAACTTTTCAAAATTAAAGAAAATATAATTTTTGTAATTTGTATGAAAAAAAGTTCAAGTAATTTACATTTAATTTGAGACAACCCATGCTGAACATTTTGATCCTTTATCTGCATGAAAGAAACATGCTTCTGACTTTCAGTTTTTGTCTGTAGTTATGCAAACGGGCCAGAAAAAGGACTTACTCCAAGTTCCTCTCTACTTGAAAGGACTCCTGGCCAGTCTACTTCAGATGATGGGTCCACTGGGTACACCTGGAAAATCAAGAAGAAAAATCTTTTTTATTTAATTGAAACAAAATGCATCACTGTTATAAAATCCATAAAGATATATATGCTTCAAGAGCTCTGAAAGTTTTATTTAATGATAATAAGTATGTACAATATGCAATGAAAAATTGTAATATATTATAATGCTTTATTTTGTACAATTTTTTTTCTTTGGATATAGTTTCCAATTTTAGTTCCAATAAAGAATATGAAAGATTTATCGATGATGTTTGTTATAAGCACCTTGTTTTCATATAATGGCTGATACTGTGAGTAGAATTTCTCAGCTATGACATCAACCAGGGACGAGTGTCTTACACTTGGTTCTACATCCGACAAGTTTTTGACCGCAGACTCGACACTCTGAGTGGCTCTGTTAGTCAGTCCCTCCTGGAAGTTAAAAGAAATAGGAAATTGAAATGAAATCATTGTTTACCCTTGGTGAGAAACCATTCCTGAGTGAGCATATGAATAGATGGAGTAACATCGGAAAGAGTAACTTCAATTCAAACGATTATGACGTCATCTAAAACTTCCAACACCTATCTGAGTTGTTTGGTGAGGTTTTTTGTGAGTCCACATGATAATCACAATAGATGGCACAGAATATGACATACCAGTTTTTAATTCTCTCTAAGGAAGACGTCTCGAATAATATAGAGTCATCATCACTTTCTCTATCCAACTTGAAACAAAACCGCCCCAAACACATATTTCAACCTTAAAAAACAACAACTTTTTTTTGCAAACCCATGGCCAAAGACATTTTTAATAAATTCCAATATTTAGTGAATATAGAACTGCAAATTGATTAAAAATAAATGACTAAAAAGTTATTAACCTTCTTACTATGTAGCAGTGATTTTAGTTCTGGCGTGTTAACACTGTGCAGTAGCGTGCAGTGATGATATGCAATCTGACGTCCTAACTTGGCTGATGAGCCTGAAACCTAATAAACAGTTAAAGATCTGTAAACATGTCTCTGTGAGCATAAGTTCCCTGAACAAACAACTGCATTGATAGGGAAACAAAGTTTGGATAAAAGTGTTCATGCGATGAGTTTTTCTTAGGAACTCATTTTGTGCAACTTTCTACTCCTCTTAAATGTATGAAAACTATTTGACATCCCTTTTTTGGTTAATTTGATTGAAAGTGCACTTCTTAAAACATTTCAGATTGCCCATGCTTTTCCGGACAACTGAGGGCGCTGTTGCTGTGATATCATTTCGGGAAGACACAGTTCAGATTAGGGGATTTCTGTTCAAATTGTGAACCCAAAATTTGCTCATTGAAGTGAAAGGGTTGCTCATTGGCTTACTGCCACGTACTTACAAAACAATAAATCACCACAAAAAAAGAGCATTTGTGACAGCAAAATATCCAAAATTCTTGCAACTTTGTTGTGCTGAAACAGCTGTAACATTGAAATTTCTGCCCGGAATTGACATCACAGTTTTGCTCATGAATATGGAAATGCATTAGCATAAAAAACAGAAAGGCATCAAAATACCCTTCAATATGGCAAAAGAAAAATTGAAAACAAGGTTAAATGTGGCACACAGGTGCATTTTCAAGGATAGCATTAAATAATTTACATTGCATGGGCTCTTTTAGGATGGAGGGTAGAGGTGGGTGGGGGAGCACTGGTTATTTTTTAACCTTTGCCTGACTTTCAACATCCCTTCACAATTCTTTTTGTGCAGTCAATTACAATTGCACTGGTCTCATATGAACCTTCCTCCTACCGTCAGTGATTACACTGAGCTCTTACACATCATTGTGAACAATGCCACCTCCAAGGCTGGGAACTACGATCACAAAGGATACTTTGAAAAAGTTGTCTAGTAGAATATCATCCCGACATGACACAGTGACGTCCAACCCTGGCCACGTGGACCTCAGTGCGTTGGTTATCAGCTCCAAGTTTTCTTTGCGATTATATCGCTTCCTGTCAGTGAAGAAAGTGCAGTTGAGGTTGCCCAGATCCTAGGAGAGAAAATAAGACAACGATCCCTATGAGAATTAGCCCGAAAATGTGGGGCTCTCAATACTGTGTATAATAATATGCATGATGAAAATGGTTTCGGAATTAAAGTTTGATTGTTAAAAAATACCACTTACATGGTAAACAGTACCACCTCCACTCCTTCTTCTTGCTAATTTGACATTTGAACCCCAGAGCTGCCTGAGCTGACACTCGGCCCACGGATTTTGGTGACGACCAATCACAACGCAGGGATCATTTCGCCATAGCAGTAGTAGATTTGTTGTGCTTAAATCTAGGTTGTTATAAACCCTGTTTGAAAAGAATTCAATTATGAATTGTTAAAATATCCATTTAAGCAAAAAAATGGTCAGATAAATGACAAAATCTGGGAAATTGTTCAAAAATTATCCCATAAACAGTCTCCTTTTTAATTATGAGCAAAGAAGTTTTAACTTTAGAGAGCCAGACAACTTTATGCTTACCAATCTTCAAATGCCAAGTTGGTGAAAACATCGCTGGACACTGATTCATATACAACTCCCTTGCAAAGTAAAAAGAAAACAAATGACAAGATACAAAATAAACGATGCCCTTTTCACTAGAGTTTGCCACCTTGAAATAAAAATATATTGAAACAAAATATAAATTAAAAGAAAAACATTGATAAATTTAGTAATCACGGCACACGTATGTAAAAATGCAAATAGGCTCAATACATGTTAGCCCCGTAAAATTTGGCCAATTTACTGGACGACGGTACTATATTTACGAAGGTTGTCCAGTAAATTGGCCACATTAATGGGGCTAAGAAAAGTAAGATTTTACATGTATATTTATATTGTATTTACCCGTTGTATGGCATGGCAATATCTTCTATTGGACGAGATCCAAGGTGACTGGTGATGAAACATCTCATATTTTGATTTTCCGTTCTTTAGAAAAACACGTCGAAGATATTTTGCCAAGTTATGGCAGACGTTTCGTTGATACATCGCGGGCATGGCGGGACAGGCATTCGAAAGTGCACCACGCGAGCACTAAACACGGTAAAATTTCTTTTTGATATTTAACAGATATCAACGGACAGATTTTGAATGTCAGTGATCAGAACTAATCCACAGTGTATCGGAAGTGTTTCTACGGAACTCATTAATTTAAACCCGAAGATTTACTTAATGAAAACGGTCACTGAAAATACCATGTAAAAACTTCAAATTTATCGATGGGCGCTGCCATGACAGGCTTGTTCGTTTATTTATATTTATGTGAAGAGTAACAGACACAGTAATTATAAACAAAACGCATTTTTATGATTACTTTTAAATAATTTACAATAATATCAATTTTTATAAAGGGATTTATTTTTAAGTACGTGAATAAGATTAATTATTTTTAGTTATTTTATATCAGATCTTTTGAAAACTAAGTTCAAGGGTCACCCCCAAAACAAAAACATCGTGCGTGTGAAAGCGGATGACTTTGTAACAACAAAATCTTCAAAATATTCATTAATAGTTCTTCCACTATTCACACAAACGGATACGGACAATGACTTCGTCACTCCCAGGCGTGAATTTGAGTAATTTAGCTTCAAGCAGTGTGCCCAGTTTGCAGGAATTTGTCCTGCAAGGCAGCGTGGTTGACTCGGCTTGTGACGCCTTGCTGCACCGGTTGAGAGCCCTGTGCGATAACGTGGACCGCGCGCCTGAGACGTTTCAAGATCATGAGATGGTGTATCTGCTCAGAACAAGTAGGGGCCTATGACTTGTATAATGTAGCTAAATTAAAAAAAACTTAGTTAGCTCTATCCTTCTGAAACCTTTCCAGTATATATGACCTCAGTCATGTCAGTGATGGGAAGTAAAATAAACAATGATAAACCACACTTCTAAATTTGTTTAAATTGTTTAAGGAAGTGTAGGCCTATATTTAGTGCGCTAGTTTAGCCGGCTCTTCTTTCAGTAAACGGTATTTTGTTTCATCCCAAAATATTGAGAATATTATTTTTTTTCTTATTTTAATTTGACAAGACTCCAACAATACAGAGCATTACATTTTCTTTTTGTCATGTTTGTGATTTGTGGCTCTGGAGGATTTTTTTTAAAGGGAAATAAAAGTCCGAAATTGTAAAATGGTCTGATTCCCATCTCGTGAACATGAAGTCACAACGACAATGTTGGTGCGGAACCAGATTAAATTAAGTTGTGAAGGTAACAATTTAATTTCTAAGTCCCCAAAAAGTCACTGCGCATGTTCAGTTCTTGGCTGGCAAAATATCGTTTACTTAAATTTAGCCGGTGCAGGCTAAATATACATTGCCAACTTTTAAAGAATGAGAATGACATGATTATAATGAGAAAAGGTTCAAATTTGTTTTAAAATACTCTTGCACCACTATGTTTAACTCTCACTTAAAATTTTCTGTTGTCACAGACAGGTTGAAATTATTCATAGAGTTAAATTTCCTTTGATTGTAGATATCAAAAATTTGTGTTTTTGGTAACATTTGTATAATGAGGTGTACTGTAGGCCCTACAATTGTATTTTTCGAAAATGGATATCCACCAAACTGTTGGTTTTATTAGGCGAAGTAAAAAAAAAACATGTTTAGCGTCCCCGCCCGCTTCCTTTTTAGAGGCCGCCTCCTTTTTTTTTTTTTTTTTTTTTTTTTAAAAGACAAAAATTGATAAATTTTAACGATCTCTGTGCAGAAGAGATGTTCGGTTCTGCATAGTTACATCATTTTGGTCTCATTTTCTGTTGCATCTTGCCCATAAGAAGCCAATATGTCATTTCCTGAGTCCAAGTGGCGGCCATTTTGAAAAAAGCTGGTAACCATCTTGAAAAATAGCCCGGCCGCGTTGTCTTGAAAAATGTGTCGGGCGGCCATTTTGAAAAGAAAAAAAAAAAAAAAAAGGGCCTCCTCCTTCCTTTTTGTCAAAGAGGCAGGACGCTAAACATGTTTTTTTTTTATTTTGCCTTAGACCTTTTTTTCTTTTTAATGGTTTTATTTAACAGGTGGGCCAGGAAATCCAGTGGTGCTACGTGCAAGGCATGCACGAGATCAACACAACATGCCATGGTAAGTATCGGACGTCGACCCAGACTGGGACCGTGAGTGCATAAAAACGTGCAAAATTACAACTGACGTTTTTTTACTCACCATTTGGCTAATTAATGCCCACACAACACATACATCAAAATGCTATAGTTGCAAGCATGTCACCTGCGAAATTTGAGACCTGAAATCCAATTTTAAGGCAAGTTTTTGGCAGTTCAAAAACCATCCACGTCATTCTCCATGCTCTAGAAATGTATGTCTGATTCCCAAGGTATTCTGGGTAGGTGCAGGAAGAGCCTTGCAGCTTACTTGTTTTTTAATCAATGGCCAAATGAACATAGCGCCCTCTGTTAAAAAATGAAACATTTTGCATTCACTCAGATCAACAAGAGGGCGCTGTTTTATCTACACGATGAAAATGTTATAGCTGAGGAGTCTTTTTGCATAATGCATTGCAGTACACATCAACGTGATGTTTCACGTATGGATTTCGATATCTCTCTGCAAAATTAGAATTAAAAGCTGAATTTTTGGTGATGCAATGCTCACAACAGCAACTTTGCGAGGCAAAAGTTTCGGGAATTATTGAAGAAACTGCAGTGAGTAAGAAGCTTGTAAATTTGATTCACACTGGTTTTGTTATGCAGCACAAACTTTTGCACGATATGGATACCTTAAGTTTTGGGACTCTCATACACAGTATTGAGATTCCCAAATTTTCGGACTAACGTCGACCCTAAGTGCTGAAAAACATGCAAAACGAAAGCAGGCCAACTTTACTCACTCTTGCCATCAAAATGTTCATGAGGCAAAGACAAGGTCCTCAGTATTTCACCAGCCAAGTTTGAAGTCTCAATTAATTTTTGAAGAAGATTTTCTTCAATTTTTAAGGGAGATTTTTCTTTTCAACATTTTGCACCTGAGACTGCAAAGTGATTTTAAAATTTAAGACTAGACATGGACATGTCCAACTTTTTGAAAAGATTGACCATTCAGTAGTCTGGTGGCATGACTGTGGAGAGAATGTGTAGAAAAAGAGACTAGGTACCAGATGTTTCTATTGACACATTTAATTGATACAGTACTAAAAGGGTGTTGGACTGGTTGTTTCATGTGCCAGTCTATTTTCTTGTATTGCATGTTTTCACTACCTTAAATTTTTAAGCGCCACTACAAGAACCTGATAGTTTAATATTACATGGTACATGTATGTCTTGTTTTTGTCTTTGTACTGCCAATGCAACAACCGTGATTAATCTTGTCTCATTTTACTGTTTATTAATCTTCTTAAAGCTATAGTCCATCATTTGCAGCCATCCAAAAAAGTAACTGGCGTATTATTGTTGAAAAACATACTTGGTTGAAAGATAGTAAGTGGACTAAACTCCCTGTGAAATTAATCTTTCTGGCAAGTCATCATTTTGAAGTAATCAACGAAAGAAGGCCTTTCCAACGGTGCGTCTTAAGACGCACCGTAGGAAAATTTAAATTAGTAGTTCGTTTTGTTATTCGGCGCAGCGCGCCCAAGCATTGCACGAGGAAAAAGGGGCGCGTGGTTGCTATAATTCGTCGGATCAGTGCGCGACATCGCATAGGCCTATAGCTGCAATTCAAAACAATTCAAAACATGATTCAGCAACTTTTGATTTGAAATTGAGATCCTAGAATGCTGTTTTCTCGGAATATACAGCTGAAGCTGAGCTGAAACTTCATCAGGTTAGTTGTTCAGTATCCTTCATTAGATTTTGAACACTTTTGTTGCTTCAAATGAACAAAATGCACAAACTACAAATGATGGACTATATCTTTAATTATATCTTTGTAATGTTTTTTATTGCTTGTTCTATTTTTATACTATCGTATGTTTGTTGTAACTGCTGGGCACCTTTGAAAAACAGTGTTCCACTGAAAGGTCTCCCCAGGATAAACAAGAAATAAATAAATAAGTTTTGGGACTCTCATACACAGTATTGAGAGTCCCAAATTTTCGGACTAGGTACAGAAGATGTTACCTGTTTCAAGAGTTTGATATGTCATGTATATAAGGCTTCAGCTGATCCAATAACTTATAAATCCCCCCCCCCCCCCCGCACCCACCCACCCACTTCTCTCACTTCAGTATCAAATTCCTATCAGCTATATCGCCTTTCATTTTCCCTTTCACACAAGGAATTACTCCTACTTCTGTTTTGATTTGAATGCGCCCTCTTTCTTCAGGCAGCTACGCTACCTTGGCCAATCAGATATCAGTGATAAGAGTAGACTTGTAACAGTCCGCAGTTATCTGGATTGTTCCACCTCGGAACAGCTGCCTCAATTCCTGACAGATATTGGATTCAGGTGAGTGCGAAGGGCGCCCTCTTGTGACTAAAACTTGGTAATTACCGGGTATTATATTTTTTGCAACTATTTCTTACAGTGATTCATATTGAGCATAATAATTGTTAGTCCTTTATGTTGTCATTCAATTTCCAACACAATCTTTTTTTACTATTTTCCGTTCATTTTACTTACAGGTTGGACCATGAGTTTGTTGCCAAAGGTCACATGTTCAGGAAAGGCAAAATGAAAGTGACTATCACCAAAATTTTCAAGGTACTAATTCAAGCGTAAAACTGTTGCTGCCCAACAATAGCATTGGTCCCAACATATGTTGGGACCATTGCCATAATTGGGGCATCACAAAACTATTGGAAACAGTGTAGTGACAGACAACTTTAATCTTGTTTTCATACTCGTCAAAATGTGCAAGTCTACAACTAAAGGGTCAATGTATATACTCAAACTTGTATGCTATTGAAGATATTTTTTAAATGAACCTGGGGGAATAACTGCTTCAATCAACTAAGTGATCAACTGATGAACCGAACACACACGCAGACTTGTTTTATATACCCTGTGTGGACATTGCTTTGTTCTTGTTTCAAAAAACTTGTTTCAAAATGTTGCCATTTGCACCGTCAACACTTTTGAAACTGATATTTTGACTGTGATTTCCTTGAATATTCTTCATTTGCTAACCCTAACCCCAAAATGCTTCTAACACTGTTTTCAGAAAGTGGAAAACACTGTTGACCTGTGCAAGTCCACACAATGTCTGAATCTCCTGCATCGTGTGGACCTCTTTTGTTCACAAGTCCACAGAGTGACTGCAATGGCTGTACACCCATACACACAAAAGTTCACCCATGTTTGTTTTACATACGCTATGTGGACATTCCTTTGTTTTCGTCTAGTTAAGAGAACTCGGTACAAAAAAATAAGTTTACTTAAACTGTGAAAACTCTTTCAACCCTAATTTTTTTTTTTTCCCCTTGAATGCTTCTCTTCATTCTGCGACTGATAACCCCAACCCGAAAATGCCTCTAAACCTGTTTTCCAGAGAGGGCGAAACGTTATGTGGACACGGCTTAGTCCACATAACGTCAACACAACCTGCATTATGTGGACCTCTTTTGTTCACATGTCCACATAGTGACTGTAAAACAAAGTCAATCATACTTGTTCTGTAGTTGTGGGGTCATACACTCGTCTGTACGAGGTATTTGTGGGGACCGAAAACACTGTGGGGACAGCAGAAAGCCCCATAACTCGGTCCTAAGTTGCCTAACAATAAAAAACTTCCCCATAACGCGGTGTAGGCCTGCACTACCAACCTGACTTGCATGTGAAACTGGTGAACACACCAATACAAAGAAAAAACAATGACACAAAAGCAGTGACAGTGATGTGTATTTAAACTCATCCAAGAAACTTGTCTTTTCCGCTTTGTCTGATCAGATCTTAACGCCAGGCAATTTGGAGGCTCTAGAACCCCTCTCCATATCTCAGCTTGTCGAGCTCAGTATAATAGCGCCCTCAGGGACAGACGGAATCGGTGAAGACATGAGAGCCTTTGCAGAACAGCTCAGACCGTATCCTTTTATGGACTTCTTGAGTCATTTCAAGAGTGTCCTCGTGTGGTTACATGTAGGATCCATAATTTCTTCCAGCTGCAAGACGACCATTGGCAAGCTGATTGTAATGTAATTAACCCTCCTACTGTTTGATCAGTCACAGACAGTCAGAAATTCAATCCCCTCCCACAACGTATACACAGGCTAGTCACCAACAGTTGGATCATATTTCTTGTAAACACCATGTCTAGTCAAATTCCATCAACAGACAAAAGCAGGTGACTGGTAGTTACATTTACAGCTGGCTTAGCAATCTCCTACAGTCAAAGCATAGCTGTATCACGTTTCATAACAGTCACAGCCAGTCAACCCTGCTTTATGAAGGCGGGGAGCACTCAACTGTTAAAAACAGTCAGTGAATTTGTCAGATAGAGAAAGAGGGTAACAAACCAAAAAGTGCCCTCGTATTGTGTCCATATCTGTATCCGCTAGTACCCCCTCACTGGCAAAGAAAGTACAGTTGGGGGTGACCGACTGACGCCATCTTGCCTGACTGCGTGTACATAGTACAAATCCCCTAGTGTATGTGCGTCACACACAGGGAATGGTGCGCGTCAACCAGCGAAATGTCCCGCCCATGGGACGTTGTTGCTAGGTAAAAGGGCGCCCTCTTTTTCCGGCGCACGGACCCATTCAGTGCGTGAAATTACAGTCGGACATCGGACATTTTCCGACCACTTTCATGGTTTGTCCGACCAAATGCAGATGTGCTCGGACAAAATGTCCGAGCGATGTATGTATTCTTTGTGGAGTTGTCTTTTTCAGAAATAAACGCTTGCACTCAAAAGTATTTTGTTGTTTATTTCCGATGATCCGGTCTGTAATACTTACCGTACGCTGAGCGGCTGCTAACTACATGTACGTGTTGTCTTATATTCACGCAATAGATGCAACGCGTTTACACCCCAATCATTACACAGTCTAGTACAGCGGCGTGCACAGCGATAGATTGGCATTCGTACGTACGTGCCGTTTGCCAAAAAATAGACGTGAAATCAAGTCGATAAATTGTGTTTCGATCAGCAGTCTTCGTGTTTCTTCTACAAATCAGTTAATACAACTTTTTGTACTTTTCAAGACATTTTATGGAAATGAGCAGTGGCCGTTTGTGGAATTCCCAGTTAATTTCTATTGGGCAAAAGTGTTAAATTGGACCTGATTCAACCTCTATTCCTTGCTATAATAATTTGATCGAGCCTCTTTGGACATTCAGAACTGCAATTTCACCCAGTTTAAGTTATGTGTTCTGCAGACTTGAATCGAGTCTGTATAGTGACGAGTCGAAATATAGAGTATTATAAGGACATTGACGCGCATACATGTAATGAGAATTTAGCAAGATCAAAGTACGTTGTGTTGCGCGGTATGCTTTAAGTGCGTGATTGTTACTAAATTCTCACAGCGTGGCTTACTACAGAAACGAGCGGGTGAATCAAATTTGGAACGCTAAATGGCAGATCAAAACTTGACAATGGCAGAACACTTTTGATTGTGCTCGGACATTTTGTCTGATCACTTTTTTTGTCTAATTTCACGCACTGCCATTAAGGGCTAATTGTACCAATTTATCAAAAGGCTATTCGTGTTTGCAAGAACCTGGACTGTCGTTTTTATTCCTTAACTGTTTTGTTTCAGACTTGTGAGCATGGAAAAGATTTGATTTCCTCCTGAGTTGCCGCCTACCTGAAGGTCAAAGGTTAAACTACTCCAGTCAGAGTTCCCTGAAGACAGACAAGTTCCCTTCACACTGCTGGAACCAGTTGATGGTTTTCAAGCTTGGGGTGATTGTGATTTGACAAAATGGACGTTGGACCATATTACATCTTCTACTTTCTGCTTATGTCGTGAGGAAAGTCGGGAAACAAAGACCTATAGACTCTGTGCGCAAGTACCCCCTCAATGGCCAAAAGGAGAGGGTTGGGAGAGACCACTTGAACAGACATTGATAACACATTACCGTCGGTGCAGCACCTGCAGCTCACACGGAGACACAGCTGCATTATGCACACTCGGAATTATATTAGACGTATGTGCTTTGCAGCATAGGCACGCGAACCGGTGCACGCAAGCAGTTTGCTTCCACCGGAGCTTTAGAAAATGATTAAGAAGTGCCCTCTGCTGTTCGTCCATTGCCCTGCTCCCTGCAGTATATTGATGAGACTGCCCCTTTAAGGGTTCTTATTTTGTACACAGCTGCTAAGAGTAACGGTTAGCAGATTTATTTGCAAAAATGAAGCATTGTGGATTTGGCTATAAGCCCCGCCCACAAGCCCCGCCCACAAGCCCCGCCCACAAGCCCCGCCCATAAGCCCCGCCCACGAGCACCACCCACAAGCCCAGCCTACAAGCCCCGGCCACAAGCCCTGCGCATGCCCACCTTCAGTTTTTGTACATTTCTATGAGTGCTGTTGATCAGAGATTCGGCAAGCTATAGTTTTCACCTGACCAATTGGTCAGTGTGCATTGTTTGATGGAAGGATTCATTTTCTAGATGCCAGTTTCTTTTTAAAGGAGAGCACATAGACTGGATACCTGTCCTGGTATGTATGAGGATGGGCAACACCCTCGAAATTCATAAAATTGTATTGGTTATGCTTCTTGAAAATCCTGGCTTTCCTGTACTCTGGTTGTGTACTGTGCACGATTTGAGACAGTGGACCCCCCCGACCCCCCCCCGACCCCCCCCCCCCCCCCCCCCCCCCCCAGTGTCCCTATACATACTCCAGACATTTGTTGCCTAACAGACCCCTAGATACCTCAAAAGAATTTCTGAGACTCCAGGAACACAATGACAATGCCAACACAAAAGAAGGGTCTCTTCCATCGCATATCTTTGCTTCAAGTGTTTGGTTAGCCTAGTTCTCAAGTACGCTTACGAAACACAGTACCTTTTGGGCATGTAAATATTTATTAATATTTCCCTGCCTTTGGAATTATTTGGGTTACTATATCATGATTTCTGATACCACAGTATATATAGATGGTTTTGATTAAATCAATTATCAATGCGAGCAATACAAATATTGTAAAGTTTCAGAAGACAAAAATATGAAATGAATGAAACTGCTGCAAACTACTAGCTGACTGGGTCGATCTGAAATATACAAATCAAAAATTAAAGTGGCCTAGTTATTTCAGCCTTGCGGCAAGGCCTTCTTCATAGGTACATGACAGAGGAATAAGAAACAAACATGTAGGGGAAACACAAGCATGCAGGGTTGGAAGGAGAAACACAAAAGAGGGAGGGGGTGGCAGACCAATGTGGGTAAAGATCAAATATCAATTAAAAAATTGGTTTAATTGTTTGATTTTTGTTTGGGTGGTCATGATCCTGTGTATTATAGGGCTGCTTTGACACCTTAATTGAATAAAACTGATCTAACCTTCGATGTACTTCCTGTTTCTTGTATTTGACTTTCTGAATTTGCTCATTTCTCGGTTTCAGTTTAGCTTGGTTTTTATATAAATAGTACATTGATGTCTAAACGGCAAATTGTATACATGATGGATCTGTGTATTGTCATGACACTGTGCAGTCCAGAGCCGTTAAGGTCAATCGTGGCCAGTTGAATATGAAGTCTAGTTTCTAAAATTGCAGTCTTTTTTGGTTTGCCAAATTTTTAAAAAAATATTTGAATATTCATGTGGAATACTTTAGTTGTCTAACCAACTGTGTTGTTTGATTATTACTTCTGAGCAAAAGGAACACTGTGATTGGTCGCTCAGTTTATGTTAATGAGGCAGCATTCACCATTATGATTGAAATATTGTATTTCTCCAGAAGATTGTTTTAAAATAGTTTAGATTGCGCGACTTAATTAAAGTCTCCATTTTAAACTTTTTATCAGTCTTCCCCAAGAATTTACTAATGTCCATTTAAAGTTTTAGCCTTTGGTTGATAGCTCCATGACAAATGCTTCATTACAAGCCAGATATTCTATTTGGGAAGACTAGTAGCAAGTCTACCGTGTACCGTTCATAATAACACCCGTTCATAAATTCATGCGTGTATAACGATCGAACCGAATTGAAAGGCGCCGTCTAGTGCGAAGTGGATAGTACGGATATCGACAGTGAACGGCTTGCGCGCGTGATCAATGTGACAGCCAACTCTCGTATATCCTCGTGATTTATCACTCATGGTGATGATACAGCGTGAGTTTGCGTCCGTGACAAGCGCCAGTAAGAAACTCTACATCATGTCGTGCGATCGTGAACTTTAGAGCCAGTCAGTCTGAACCGTGTATTCATGTCGATCTGTACATGTTTACCCTACGCGATTTTATTTCTTTCTTTTGTAAGCTGACTCAGTGGTGCAGGGATTTTTTTATCAATTGCCTGCTGCGGTGAGTTTCCTGTATCTGTGTGTGGGCTTATCAGACAGGGGCGTGTAGGCTACCAAATTTGCCTATCCCAGAATTGTCATCAGGAGCTTGTGAATTTCAACCCGGTTGAAAGACGTAAAGGTGAGCTAGTTTTGTTTATTTTATTTTTCATAAAAGTCAATTTTATGGTTGACCTCATTGAGAGTGCAGTGTGTACATGTATATGCATCGGAGCTGTGATGCATAATGGTGAATCACTGTATTTGAGGTGCTTATCTTTAGCCGTGAACTTCCGTTTATATGCATGGGAATAATCTAAAATACCACCAGGAATATAACCTGGATCTGCGAAACAAAAACGAATTCTGCACTCGGCCGTTGTCATTGTGTCTTACGGAGCTAGAGTTCGGCAGCAATAAAATTCAGAAAACCCTAAAAGTTTAACTAAACAACTGCAAGAAAAAACTGTCAACAAAATAGTATGACACTTCCTCTTCCTGTAGCAAAAGAACAGCAGGAAATTTCCGGGAAGTATTATTTTTATGCCGGTGCACTCTCTCGATAATTAACGACTCGGCCTACCCGGCCGATTATATTATGAACACGTTGAAATTGCACGTGGGATCTGTCTGTCGTGAATTATGAAGTAGAAGTTCAATGGCCGATTTTTTATTATTAACCCTTTGTCGGAGTGCTAGTGAAAAGGAACTCTCGATCATGGACTCTCACGGGGCCGGCCCCCTTCAATGGAGAAACCATTGCGCACGCTACTACAAAGCAACTGGCCCGTGGCGGATTATCTGAACAGCAGCTATCACAATCCTTACGCCATTGAAGGGGGCCTCCGTGTTAGAATTGGTAGCGTGACCGGATTGGCCGGTCTACTCTACAGACGACTATTTCCGGTCATTATACAGTCCTTGAATGTACAGATCCTTGACGCCAGTACTAATGGTAACCTTCTGGCGGGAAGTGATTATTCTTTATCACGGAGCTGTTATTTTTATGAATACATTAATATTATACACCAAATCCAGTGGCAAGTCAAGGTGAAAGTTTGAGAAACCTTGTCAAAACGGGTAGGGTGTTTTTAAATTACTTTTGCACTTTTACAAGTTCATATTTATTTCAGCAATGCGTTTCAATACAAACTATTTTTTAAAAGCCACTGTACTGCCTGACACCGCCCGAGCACTCAATGGTTTTATTGATTCTACAGTGAATAAGCACAATGTTATACAATGTAGTACATGTGCTGGTGGGTGTTATAAAGGTTACCATTTAGTTAGATAGACACATTCACAAGTGTAACGCAATCTTGGTTTGGGCTATAAAAGAGGGAATCAGTAATCTAAAAGTAACTTTCATAGAGACCACAAACAAATATTTAATCTACTTTGGCTTCATACATTCATGATTTCATTCTACACCAGTATATGTAGTATTTGTGTTTCATATGTATATAATGCTGCGATTTGAGTATGCACGATTAACGCTGAGGGACTGGAGATGTTAAATCGTCCGTGTCGAGCCGACCTTTTGCGATTGACAGATATAACCATCAAACCTAAATTTCATGTACAACATGAGTATTTCTATCATGTACAACATGAGTATTTCTAATACGTTTGCTACGCCATTTTTCATGACCTTTGATGGATAATAATTATAATGGAACATATCATTTCAACACTTATTTGGTTTTGCAGTAAGTGGACGACAAAACACAATACAAAAGCTTCGGCTTAAATTTCGTTTCAGAAACTTGCAAAGCCCCCTCTCTCCCCATAATTCTTGCCAATTCCAAGTGGTGGCAGATTAATAGTATTTTTTTCAGTTTTCTCTTAGAATGCCGCACTCGGCGTTTGAATCCCTCTCTATAGGTAGGTCCAAAAAAAGTTTACACTTTTTCAGACGCAGATTTCTCAAAATTGAGGAGACATGTTGAAATTTTTTAAAGATATTCCTACTCTACAAGATCTTGGTGGTATATGGTGAAAATGTCGTTGAGAATAAAGCCTAAATTAAGAAATGGCGGCCATTTACAGAAAATGGTCAATAACCAGTTTGTCCACACGCTTGCCTCATTGACTTGCATGTGGACAAACTGGTGTTTTTTTGAGAAATCTGCTTCTGAAAAGTGTGAACTTGGTTTTGGCCCACCCTGTATATTGTATCATAATGTATGCATTCTCAATGTAATGCCTAGGCCAGCAAAACGCACGGCGCCAAGCAGCTGGACTTTTGGTAATAATGAGTAAGAATCAGGCTGGTTGCCATGGCAATTGATGAAGTAGCGCGCTAAAAGTAATAATGGGGGTCATTGAACCGCGGTTGATGAGGGATTTCGTCACCGGAGGTAACTGAACTTAAATAGGACTATAAATAATATCAATACCCTACAAGAATAATAATAAAGTTGGTGTAGGCCTATACCTGCTTTTTGGGTGTGGCACCTTGAAAAAAAGTTTTTCAAATTGAATTGATAATTTTTTAGCATTACATTAATTATGAGCTTTCCAATGAGACATCGCACAAAAAAGCGCACGACAAGTAATCAATTAATTAATTTCAACTTTTGAAATAAGAGCGGGACGCTCCTAATTTATTCGTTCTGAATCCTAGTGTGCGCAATTTTTGAACTGGAGCCGCCACTTTTCAAAACAAATTTATTTGTTGCAGGACATTATATTCCTTTAAATTTCGTACGGAAAAGAAAAACAGCAGTCGGGGCACTGCCGTTTGCAATTAAAAACTGAGACCACGAAATTTGTCTAAAGGGCGTGCCATAGCGCGCCAAGAATTATCTCAGTACATGAATGATTAAGTGATTAACAGTGATTAAGTCCAATTGAACGTCTGGTGTCAAAATGTAAAAAAAAAAATGGTCAAAACTTGAGATGTTAGAATATATTGAAGATGGGGCGAAGTATACATTGGTGTATGTAAGAACTAAGAAAATACTTGATAATTTGTTGCGGTTTGAGATCATGAAGGATTAACTGTAGGCTACTAACGGGCGGAAGAAGGGGGGGGGTAAAATTTCGAATTTTCAGTAAAATGATATTCTTGTATTCTCATCCTTTTGTTTGGTTTGTGCCATTCGTTGATGTGTGCACATATTTCTAAAGCCATGAAATAAGCGGTCTCGGGGGGGGGGGGCTGATGTAACTGTGGAGGGGCGCCCAATTGTATCCATGCTCAAAGGTAGACAGTTTTTTCACCGGACAACCGGCCTCCCGCCGTAAAATCAAATAGGGCAGGGAGGGAGGGGGGGGGGGGGACTGGACACCATATTATAACAGGGGCACTGTTCAAAACCGAATTCATGGTCATTGTCAGACAATGGGTATCACTATACGCGTTTCACGGGACGTTAAAATATACAGCCAATCGCGAAAAATGTTATATTAAACCTGTGAACCAAAAGGCACTTTATGTTCAAACCGCTAATCATGATTTCGTGACTTTCTCCGATTGTCAACTTTCCAGTGGGGGAGGGGGGGGGGGGTTGGGCGACTGGGGACGACTTTTTTTTTTTGGGGGGGGGCGCCCCCCCCGGCCCTCTCCCACGCCCCCCCCCCCCCCCCCCCCGTAGATACGCCGCCACATGAAATAGTTCATGGCCCACTTGCTTTCTGCTCGATAGACCGTAATCTTGTTATTATACTCGATGCAATTAGGTTATCTGATCGACCTTGGTAGCCTAAATAATAAGGCTTCAACTAATCAAAGTTCGTTTTCAATGGTTGCATTCGATTTGTCTATATTCATCTAATAATTTATGCACTTGCATTGTGATTGGTTCATTTTTATGTTAATGTGACGAAATTATGCGCGCGCCTTTTGATTGGTTTGTTTTGCGCGTGTTTGTTTTTTTAATTCAGACACAGCTACCAGGCTACTGTTTGTTCAATGTATAAAGAAAAATCACAGTGTACAATTCATCTTTGCACTACCGACTGCTTAAACTCTTGACCTTTCTCGTGATTGTATATTTTTTTGACGGTACTCATTTATTCACAACTTGAGTTAATTTTTGATAGTGCGTCAATATGAAGATGTCAATTTATCAAATTTGCGGTCTTTTTGAGTCAACCTTGTGCAGCGCTGATGCTCATAATGGGATAAACTGGCGTGATTTGCTGCGGGTCGTCGTCGAGACTGGACAATTAAATTTTGAAACAGCAGACGCCAACTTTTCCTCTGTCTGTTGAATATTCTAATGTCTGGACGAGTTTTATGTGCGTTTTTTTTTTAAATGTGATGGGGTGCCTATATAAACATACAGAGACACGACATAATAAGGAGGCCAAACAATGGTTGGCCTTTTGCACGCAATTTTAGAAGAGTTACGATTTTGGGTTCATGTTATTGAGAACAGCTACATATTTAATTTAATGTCCTGATATTTAGCTCACCAACTGTGACATACATGTACATTTAAGGAACGAAGGGTTTTCAATTCCTGAGATCGGCATAGAAAAGAAATGACTCGATTCATTTCGTAAAAGATGACTGAATGAACAACATGCACCTACTTTATCAGCCACTGATTACTTCAAACAGAAAGCCCTTTTAAAATGATACTCCCCTTACGATAAAAACCTTGAAACTTGTGTTATATTTAAGTCAGTTTTGGTTTCAAAATGTTTTAAGAAACTTATAAACCAACAATCAAAATGACCAAAATCTGAATACGTACAATGTTTTTTTTCTTTCGGTTTTATATTCAGTCATACATCATACATGAACTTACTATTGTCGATAGGGATAAGTTTATAGACTGAGTAGAAATATCTTCTCACGATTCTTTGCCTTCTCAAACGTACTGTTGCGATTTTAATATAATCTGGAATGAATGTTCCCTTTTGTAAAACGTAAGATGTAGTGTGTCTTCAATAATATTATCGCTAATCAATCCTTCGAAGAGAAATGTGTAATAATCAAACATAAGAGCTAGCATATCAAATACATTTCCTTGGGAACTATATAGAGTCTTATAATCAAAATGTACGATGCTCGATTATATTTCAGAAAGCTTCTTTGCCTAAAAGGTAATGGACAATAGGACATCATTTGCAAAAACAAGTGTATACAATAAATCTGAAGTAGGTTATTACAAAAACTAATCCGTCGCA